AGACCCCCCCGGCCCCCCCGGCGGAGCAGATGTTCCACCTGGTGCCGCCGCCGGCCGAGCTGGCGCAGAGCCTGCGCTTGAGCAGGGTGGCCACGGCCTCTGGCCCCCGGCACCGCGATTTGGACTACGAAGCGGAGGCGCCAGGCCGGGGCCACGTCCGCGCCATCGACAACCAGTACATACCGCTCTGACGGGTGCCACGTCGGCACGGGGATGCACTTTCGGGTGGAGAAATCCTAGAGACCTTCTGGGTATCCCATCGAAAGAACGAATGTACTTAGTTTCTTCCTTCTGGTTAGGAATGTTAATTATATTTTTGCAAAGAAGGGGGTAATTTTTCACTCCAGTACGGGTGTGCTCCCGCTCTTCGGCCTGTTAAAGGGCCTTTTATTTTTATTTTTGTTGTTATTATCAAAGCTTTCTTATTACTGTTTACACACGCTGCTCTTGCCTGCGTCCCTGTGTGCCGAGCATTGCGCTGTCGAGCTGTCTCCTGCCTGTCCCTGACACGACAGTGCCCAGCGAAGGAACCGGGATCTTGCGTTACACCCATATAATTGGAGAAAGGAAAAAAAAAAGAAGGTGTGGGGGGGGAAGTGGATTATAAATTCATCAACCAGTTGCTGCTCCAGGCTGTGCGCAGGCAAAGACGAGCCCTGTCCTCCCGCCCCGGCACGTGCTGCCACTGCCAAACCCACTAGCAAAGCCCGACCTGCCGGAGCTGAGCTCCTGCGCCGGGTGAAGATGACGATCGCGATCAGAGTTTGGGTTTTAATTTTAGATAAGGCAAAAACTGGCTTTTCTTGCTCTTTTTTCTTTAACCTAGCACAGTTGCAGCACTCCCTGCGCCAGCCAGAGAAATGCTTATGCCATTAGCCTTGCTGATTAAGACATGAACACTAACTGCTCCATCACTAATAATGTCACTAGCTGAGAACTAACGTGGAGACTGACAGCAAACCACTCCTCCCGGTGATGGAGGTGTTTTATCCTGGTGATGGAGGCGTTTTATCCTGGTAATGAAAACGTTTTAGGCACAAATCTAAAGTGAGTTCCCCCAAACATTTTTTTACCTCGCCAGTGCAGGCAGCTGCCCACCCCACTCTCACTTGCCTTCCCCCTCCCCCAAAACACTGTTTAACCAAGAGTTTGGTGGTATTTAAAGCTATGCAACGGCCTTTTGCAGGGAAGGGGGTGCCACTGGTGTACGCCTCCTCGCCTGGCGGACAAGCCTCTGCCAGCCAGCCTCCCCAAACCCGCAGAGGGGCTGCACCCCCCCGACGTGCCTTAGGTTCGGCATCTCGACAGCCGTAATTACACACACCGCAGGCGCTTTAACTCAGTCGCCTGCGCGCCCCTCGCCCTAGGAGCACTGGTTGCATGGACGGCGAGGGGTGCGCTGAGCGAGACGTAACTCCCGTGGGAACCGCTGTGCATCCGTCACATCCCCGGGGCTCGATGTCCCCATCCCCAGCGAAGGCACCCTCACAAGGAGAGCAGCGCCAGAGCCGGGAGCGCGGCCGTACCCCAACCTCCGCTGCTGTCTTCAGGCTCTGCAGCCGTCGGTGCCGCTGAGCCTGGGGTGCTGTTTTACCTGGGGCAGCCGGCGTGGCCGCGCCGAGAGAGGAACCGCTTCTTAGAAGCTGCCATTATTTTAAGAATAAGGAAGGGGCTGGAGCCGTTGCGACACGCGGGAGGGGATGTTCGCAGCATTCAACTTCCAGATTTCTCAGCACAGCCCGTGCGGCGCTCCCCCGGCATTTCGGATGCAAAACTTGCCTTGAAATTGCCTTACAGGGAAGCCTTTTTATGTCAGGCTTTTTATTCCTTGAGGTGGGAGCCCTCAGGAGCATCAACATTTAGGAATTAATTTGAAAGCAAGCAAACAAAAAAGCCTCGTGGGGCCGAGTTAGGGAGTTTTGCAAAAATCCAGCTTCTAGGCAGGGCTTTGCCGTTAAGCCAGCGCGTGGTGAGCCTGGTTGGCAGTCAAAGCCCAAGGAGCTAAATTCTGCTCAAGGTCAGGAATTGAAGGGCAAGGTCACGGCGCTGTTGTGCTGGGCTGGGCCAAAAAGGGCAGATGTAGCACAGGCAGGGGCCAGGACCAGGCAGGGCCAAAATAGCCAGGGCCAAACACAGGCCAGGGACTGGCTGTGAGAGCAAATCTGGTTTTCTAAGTAGTCGTCAAAGGATGAGGGCTGGGAGAAACTGCGTACCATCAACCTGAGAAACCACTTAGGATTTGCGTTTTGTGCCTCCCCATCTTTCCCCAGCCCTCTCCCGGGCTGTCTTTGTACATTCAGAGCAGGCAAGGCCTTTTTTTCCCCCTTCCTCTGTTTAAAGCGACTTGAAAATGGGCCCATGGGGAGGAATCCTGTATTTCAGCAGGGATCAGCGTTTCCCGGTGCTCAGCACACACCATCGCGCACTCTCTTGAAACCAGAGCGTTAGGAGCAAATTGCACTGGCCGGTTGCACCTCCAGCGCTGCCAAACCCAGCAAGGCTGCCAGAGAAACAAAGGCAGCCCTGTCCTCGGCTGGAGCTTCTCGGCCATATCCGCATCCCATTTTCCTCCCCGGACCAGCACAAAGGCTGCACCCAACGGCAGGAGCGTATAGCCGGGGCTGGCTTGTGCCAGGCAAGTCAGCTCCCTTCATTGCTAATAAATAACTCCCCATGGTCTTGCATTTATAGGGATGAAGAAGGGAAGGGGAGGAAGCATAGCACAAGTTGTTGGCTCCTTTGCTTGCTTGGTGCGTGGTTCCCAGAGCACGCATGCCTTGGAAACCACTTGCACATGCTAAATCTTGCAAAGGTTCAAAGAGCTGATTTTAGTCCTGCTGAGTTCCAGGCAGCCACGTTCAAAGGGGTCTTTCCCCAAAAGATGAAGTGGTCTCACCCGAATCACCCTGCGCTCGGAGCATCTGCAAGAAAGAACGGGCTGGGAAAAGGGATTGCTATTCACAGCCGGCGCAGCCCCTGCCAGATCAATCAGATGCTGCTGGGATGGGTTGTTTTGGCGCGCCGGGGCTTATTGTTCGAGCGCCAACAACTAAACATGCACGCGCATGTGATATTTTTAACTTGCAGTTTAATTGCGAGGGGTTTCTCCGTAGTTTAAATGGAAATTGCTGTGCTTGATTAGCAAAATATACGTTGAGGTCATTCTCGCCCCGTCAGCTGTTTCCCCTGCGCAAACAAGCTCCGGTGGATGCGAACTCCCGTTCTCCCCACTAGTGAGCAGTGGGAAAGTCGCTCCGATTATTTAATAGTTATTTTCCTCGAGCCCTACACGCAGCAGACATTAATCCAGCCCGTAAGGTACTCCTCTTCATTATAGCATTGGGAAAGATGCCATTATATGGCATATAAGCCAATTTTTATATTCTTCTAAACTTGGGAAAAGAGCGTAGGACTTAGCAGGTTTCACTCCCCAGTCCATGTGGGCTTTTATCAGCCTTTCTGAAGTATCAGCATTGAGTTTTGGGAGGAGGGGAAGCCAAGGGAAGAGCCCCGGCATGGCTGAGAGCTGAAATAAAATGGGATGTGACCGCCGAGGTCTCGGCTTGCGCCTCGGCCCTGGAGATGGGTACGTGCAACGTGAGTTTGGATCCAGCGCGACAAAGCCGTGACCCAACCGGCAGCGACTCTTGGTGCTTTTGGCTGGAGCCTTTGCCCGATGCCCACTCACGCAGCCCCCTGAGGAGAGGGCTGTTGGGGAGGGAAGCGCCATTTCAGCCAGCTGCTCAGGACAGTTGTTTTTGGCAATAAAGATGCAAAACAGGACCTGGCTTAGTGCACAACCTAAGACCTGGGTCCAGCCAGAACTTCCCATCTCCATCTTACGCTTCGGAAACCACTTGCTGTTTGCTGACAGACCCTCCCTGTCGGTGGCTTTTGGGTGTCCTCATGGGCGACAGGTTCTGAAGAAGTTCATGACACAAAGCATTACTTAATCTCTTCATCCCTCCCTCCCTCCCGTGTCCCAGCAATCCAGAGCAGGTTACCAAACACTGACTCCCCCGCTGCCTCACCGATGGTTTTTGCATCGAAACCTTTGGGGCAAAGCTTATAGGAAGAGGTGCAGGTCCAGGGTAAGGCCAAAACTTCTCATTTCTTCCAGTCTCCAGACCACAGAACACTGCTGTCATCCAACCAATGCAGTTTTACTCTAACAAGCATACGAAGCCCTGAAGTCTTGACTAAGAGGTTTGAGTATTCCAGATTTTAATTTAAGCTTCTTCAATGCGAACAGACCCAACCTTCACCAGCAACTACCAGAGGTGGGGGAGGCGGCTGCGCATTCCCTAACTCAGCCTTAAGCAAAATGATTAAAGCCAACAGTTTGTTGGATGGAACGTGTAATAATCTGAAAATTCTCCTTTTCACCTGCACAGAAGAGTTGCTCTTGTAGAGTAGGTTTTTCTATATATTGTTTCTGTATGTACTGTACAAGTAACTTATTCTTGAATAATGCAATTTTACCATAATATAAAAAAAATCTGCTCTTAATAAACTGTTTTTAGAACTTGTTTCTCACTTCTCGTCTTTAGCCTGATTCTCTCTAGGTGCCCGGATGCTATTTTAACAGATACTGAATTAATGGCTGCCAAAAGACAGAAACTCTCCCTTAGAAATGAAAAGCAAGCCGCCAGCCTATGGGACGAGCTGTTCCTTCGCAGAACTCATTCAAGGAGTCCTGCCCCAAGTCACCATCGCTGCGACGGTCTCATGCCCCCTGCTGCCCACCTGAACATGAATTCATTACATTTTACTGCACTGCTGACCTGGAAGGATTAAGACAGAAGCTGCGGCGGTATTTGTGTTCCCCCGTATGTTTTTCGCCAAGCCACAACGGGATGTAACTGCTGCCCGTGAAAGGTTGTACTTACAACAGCTTGTCCTGCCTCTGAAGGGCAACTGCAGCATAACCCAGTTTAACCGGCATCGCCGTTTGGTTAGGTGCTGGCGTTGTAGGATGCCTGCACCATACAGACCAGTTAGCACCCCAGCTCTGTGTGAGCAATGCCAACTAGTCTGCGCATTACCGAAGGAGGCGACAGTCAATTTTCCCAGTCTTTCTACCAGTCATTTTGCTACGGAATGCTTACCCCGATTTCTTCCTCTCCTTCTCCAGCAGCACCACGTCTTGTGTAGTTTTATCATCTTAAGCCTCAAGGCCCATTGTGCCACCAGCCCGAACGGCGTAAGGCTGAGGCATTAGGGAATACACCTGAACGCAAGAAATTGCTTAAAACCTGTACCGAACTTCTGATCTTGAAACCTTTGACTTGTTTTTGCAATGGCCCTGCAAGTCAAATACGACTGATTCGGTTGCGGGGCGGGGGGAACCACGCGATAGGGCAGCAGCACGCAACAGAAACACATGGCAAAGCTTACCTGATGCTAAATAAAACATTGACGCCAACTTGGATCGAAAGCTGGAGAACACGTTAAGGAAAGATACTGGTAAAACAAGACACAAACACTAAGTAGGTCAGTTTTTAAAACTTTTTTTATTTTTTAATTTTTTTTTTAAGTTTTTATTTTATATTATCTACAAAGTAAAAGTTTTCTTAACTTAAAAGTTACATCACTGTCTCACGATAGTGATTATCTCATCAAACGTGATTTATAAATAATAATTCATCAGTTTGACGATTAGAATTTTTTTTTTTACTGAACCTGTTTCAAGTTTAGTTAGAAGTAAAAGGGATCTCCAAGTCTTGATTTTTAGTGATAATAGCAGCAAGAATCACTCTTGTTACTTCTTTTGCTAGCTGATGAGTTCATAACTTTGAAGGGTCATTAAAAAATAAATAACTTCCAGTTTTCAGCAAGCAGAGTTGGGGCACTTGCAGGACTCAGATACAGTGCATGGAATTATGGAATAGCCCACAAGTTCCTAAATGCCTCTACTCAGTCCGAATCTCTCCCACTGCAAGATGAACTGTTAGCATTCCTAGTGGATGTTACAAGAAATCAATTTTTTTTTTTTTAAACAAAATAAAATGAAATTCTAGTTTTCTGTGCTTCCAGTTGGCAGAAGCAGTAGAAGGAGGGTATTTGGCCTACAAAAGGTATCCAGCCTTTCAGTTATTCCAGATGAGCCTTACAACTGCTGTTGGTGGTGGGCTTGTACTGTAAAAAAAAAGTTCAAATGTAAATAATAAATTGGCAAGCCACACAACAGTTTGCTAGTAAAGTGGTCACAGGACAACTACTGAGCTGAACTTTTTCTCCAGGGGAGGCCTCTTTCTTTCCTTTTTTTTTTTCTTTTTTTTTTTTTTTTTTTTTTTTTTTTTTTTGTAAATGAACAAAACAAAACCCTGCATATCAAGATGTCCTTTGGATGTTTTTTTTCCCTACCTAAACCCTCAGAAAGCAGCCTTGTTCTGCTCACACATTCCCCAAGAAACAAAATCAGGTATCTACTTCACTACAAAAGTTTAGAGGCTGTTTGGAAATGAGTAACAATAAAGAAACCTAGGTAAGGTTAAATTTAAAGCAGAAAGAAGTCATACAGCACCTACTTTTGCCAAAAAGTAAAGCTGCAGAATGTTACTCTGAATTAAAGATTAGACTTCACTTGTCACTTTACTTCAGTCATTAGAAGTCTAACAGCCCTACCCCCAAGCAACATTTTCACTTCTATCCTCGAGACCGATCACTTTAAATTTAATAAAACCCCAGATCATTATAAACAGGCTACACAGACAGTCCATCCCCCACGGCAAAACCACAGCAAAACCTGGAAGAACACAGTCCCGCAGTGCCAGTGTCTGCGTAGTTATCCATTTCTCTGCTTCAGCTAGAGAGAAGCAAAGTCTTTGCTAAATTAGCTACATCTCGTACGCTTATCTAGGCTCGCATTTGGGCTGGCGAAGCATAAATGCGAAATGCAGAAACAGTCTGCCTTCAGCAGCCTGCCGCTCTACAAGGACATCTTAAGTTTTTTTTTTTTGTTGTTGTTCTTTTCCCCAAATCTGGTTCATAACAGTTCTCACTACTACGACCTGGCTCAGTTAAGGTGCAGGTCTCCCCGGCACACACTCCTCACCTGAAGGGTGCGTCATATAGGGGAAATGTGTTGTTGTCGAGACTGGAATGGGCTGTAGTGCACTTTGAGCGATGGCGGCTTGGGGACCACCAGGTGGCTGTGTCGTCATTAGCATCATTGGAGCATGGGCAGTTGGGTGAGAAGGAACCATTCCTGACTGTACATGAGCCTGAAACAAAGAGCTCTTTAGTATAATGGTCACAAGGAGGCATCACTCCTGGCCACATGACTATCAAGTTTTCTCCAGCTGTACCAGTAAATCCAGAGATTTACTCCATTTTAACTAGATTAGCTATAGGGATTAAGTCAGAGATCTTAACACAAAAATAATAACTAAAAAAAAAAAAAAAAAAAAAAAAAAAAGGGGGCTCAAATCCTTACTGCTGGCTCTGAGTCACATTCTCAATTTTAGCCATTTGGACAGTGAGCGCTGGGAGAAACTGCCAGCATTAAACAATTTAAAAACAAAAACAAAACCAGAAACAAACGTCAGCAACAAATCTTCAAAACATTACTGTTAGTAATTTAGATCAAAGCACTTCCTATGCAGAGAATGCACCGGGTACAGATACGAACTTCACGCGCGCTGGGAGCCTGGCATCCCTTCCTCAGCTGCTCATTACACAACTCCACATTTTTTTGTGGCTCCCTGCCCTAGAAACCACTCTCTCCAGTGACCTGTGCCCACATTATCATTCATCTAAGCAGTCATCCTAAGATGAGTGATTTCATCCCTTTATACTGTTAGGTCAGCTTTGTTCTGTTTCCAGTTAAGCTCATCACGGTTAAGGTCCTTGTGTAATCTAAGCAATCATAGTGGAAAAAATCAGTGGAAAAAAGAGATTGAACTTTATGATGGCTGATCACCTTCTGGCAAACAAGTTCAGTAACTTGTCAGTTGGCTCCTTTAGCTCAGAGCAGTTAATGACTCTAGAGGTCATCAATTTTTTGGTTTAAAAAACTAGTAAACACTAGTTTCTTAAAAGCACAAAACAATAAGGAACTCTTAAGAGGTCTCAGTGGGTTTCTCTTGGGGGGGAGGGGGGGAAGCATTTGTATCTAAGGTTTGTTTTGTCCTACCATGTCCCATGAACAGAGCACTACAATGCAATAATTGCAGCCTCACAAGTTTCACATGCCAGTAAAGACAGATAGCAGGTAGTGGCTACAATTTTATTTCTTAAAGACAAAAGGGTTACTTGACTTGTCACAGACATTCTTCAAACTCGTTATCAGACTTGCACTGTATTAGTAGCACTCAAGAAGCCTTTAAAGGCAGGAACTGCAATTCAAATCTCACTCTTGCTCTAAAAAAGGCTTAGAAGATAAGGCTGTGAAACAGAAATACCTTTCAGGATCAGCACCATTTTTACTTTGACAAACATGCTATTATAGCAGCCATCATTATAAAGCAGCTATTCATATAGCAGCTGTATTCAATACACGCATTGGATAAAAATTTTCTGCTGGGGCTCAAACGCTTTGCAAATTGGCAGCCGACGGTACTCTGTAATGAATTTTAAAGTACTGTTTCTCAAGTGAGATATCTAACAGCTCAAGATTCATCTGACAACCTAAAGGGAAATTCAATTGATCCCCTGTGTTAGCCTGAAATTCCTACTACATGGTATTTCAGAATTGTGTTCAGAAGTTGGAAATGAGGCTGCTAAGAAACTATTAAATCCAGTGATTAGTTTCCCCACAATGGAAGAATTACACGCATTTAAAATTTCTTACAGAACTGTAGTTATTCCTTCATTAGAGATTTTTGAGGGAACTACTTCATTTTCAAAAGTCAGTTAGTTTGGTATAAATATCGTGGATTATAGATTGTAGTTTTCATCCAAAAAAAATTACAGCAGAAGAGACTGCGGAAGTCTAAAATCAAGGGTAAGGCAGGCTTTGCCTGTGATTGCTAAAACATCCTGACTGAGCAGTCAGTTCTGACTAAAAAGTTGCATCCGATTTGCTTTAGCAAGGTTTGCTTATTTAAGTGCTTGGCACACAGAAAGGAAGGCAATGGTTGCATCCTACAGCGCAGGCTTGGGCCTGGCCGTGATGTGTACACCACAATTCAGGTACAGTTTTACCTTTAAGCTGACCTTGAAACCAACACGTTTCATATTTCAAGGCACGGCACTGAACATGCCGCTAACCCAGGAGCTTGCGGCGAGACCCTTCTGAAGGCTTGCGTGCAAAGCACCTCGAGAAGCTCTACAACCTAGGCATTCACACCAGTGCTATCACACCAGAGCGGAGCAAGCATCTTGTTTCTGGCAGAAACCAGAGCCTGGGAGGACATGGCAAGATGCCACAGCAGTAGTCAAGTTTGGACATCCTCTCCTTATCCTCCCACAGTACAAAAGCAGAGAAATGAAATGCCTAACGGAATTAAAAAGCTAAAAACTCAACATCAGTAAAACAACTCCTAAATAACTATTAATTCATTGGCTTAACTGACTGTCCCAGGGACCAAAGCAAAGATTTTATCAGAATTCTGCAAGGGACTGGACACCTATTAGACTAACCTCCCTAATTACAGTTAGTCATGATGTCCCAAAACTACTGTTAACCTGTATGAGAAGACATAAGCCAGACACCAAGTACTTGGTCTGCAGAAGAAATTGTGCAGGCAAATTACTGATTAGTTGTCTGTTCCTTGACAAAGCACACTAAATCCATGAGATTTAGTAAACATCAGCAAATCTCGGCAATGCTGTCTTACGCAGAGTTCTTGATTAATCAACCATGTGCTTCCCTTCCCAAAATCCTTTTTTCAGTGAGTTGACCACAAGAGAGCAGTTAAGAGAAGTGGGTTTCTGATCATGAAGTTAGGACTGTTCTTAAATTGCCCAACAATCGTCGGGTATCTCCTGCATAAGCAGTTCATTTAGAACCACACACAGACGCATACACACACACACACGCACACACGGTTTTTTCAGCAAGGATTGTCTTGCAGTCCATCTGAACTGAATCTCACCTATCTCCCATTGCAGTGCTTTGCTACTCCCTAGTAATCCTGTGTAATATCCTTTATTGGATGCACTTGTATAAACATGACTACAATGCAGAGCCTAAAACTGCCACCAAAAGCAGCAATTCAGCCTTCCTCGCTCAGCTCTCACCTCCAACCTTTCTGTATGCCAGCTCTTCCTGTGATCATGCAGTGAACCTGAGTAGTGAACTGATTTGACTGAGAAATAGCCTAAAACGGGGGTGAGGGGGCACACTTCAGTGGAATCATGTCCCCAGTCTGGTTTGCTGCATGGCCAAACAGTTCTGTGAGCAGAATGGTGGGGAAGGACAAGGATGGGAGCCGGGAACTGGGAAGAGAGCTCAATTTCTTTCAGTAGCAGTGCCACCTTAAGATGTCTTCATTAAACTACAGTTGTAGATGCACTGGGTGTTGGAAGCTGAGGTCCAAATATCTTGTAAAATTCTAAATAAAGGCAATGTACAGACAGAAACCTAAATAACACAACAGGTAGTCTGTGCTGAGAGGTGACAGAATGGAAATCACTTCAGCAGGCCCGACTGTCCTAACTTTGGGGCATTAAGACATTTAGTCTTGAAGGTTGTTAAACTGTGTTTACCTGGGGGACATGGGCCATGTGTGGCGGATTGGTATATGCAGGTTGAACATGGGAGGGATGAATGGTGAAGACTGTTTGTTGTGCTGTAGGAAAACTATTTTGTGGAGACTGCGTATTGGAGCCTGGCGTCATGGAAGGTGGGGTTGGAGCTAGACCTGCGTGGTAAATTGCCGACTGCTGTTGTGGGTTTGCCAGGTGGAGTGCCTGAGCAGCCTGGTGCTGATGATGCTGCAAAAAAAGACAGAAGATCATTTAGGTTATGGTCTAGAAGAGAGACATGTTATTCTGTAAACTAGCGTAAGAAAGGTTTGCAAAACTGCTCTCGATAGTGAATCTTTTAAGTGGCAAATCTAAGGACCACCACACCTATGGTCATGAGGAAACTCATTCCAATTCCACCAGGCTCATTTTCTCCTTGCACTAGAAGTCATGTGAGCAGGAGCCTGGAAAATGGAACCTAGACTGACAGGTAAAAACAAGGAGACCCTCCAATTGTGGGGCTGGATATACTTCACAGTTGCAATTAGCAGCCCAAAGTTATTACCAGTAGGTAACTAAGGCATGCAGCACTATCACGAGGCCTATTTTGGTTTCAGTTGCTTGTCTTTGACAAAATACAATGAAATGCTTCTCAGCATTTATTTGCTATTTCCAGTTTTAACTCCACTCATATTAAAGCTCTGACAAAATTACCATCCTTCCTTGATCGTAACGTGGAAACAAGCTATACCTCATCCCCTGTGAAGAGGGAGAAATGAATGGTTGGACTCTGGTATTGGTCCTTACTAAGGAAAAGGGACTGCCCCCAGTTTCCAGGCTAGCTTATCTAACAAACTATGTCATGAGCCTACCATCTTTGAGTCCTAGCCACTGCAAGCAGAGAAGAATTAAGTTATATAGCTCTACTTCCTTCCTTCCTTCCAGAAAACAGAGGGGAATCTAGACAGCTCCCGTACGAGATCTGCCACATGCGGTTCGTTTGGGCAACTGCTCCGTCTTACCATTTTTCCTCTCAAAGAAATCAATATATCGATGTCAAGCGTCGGACTGATGCAATACCTTCCAGTAGCACATGTTAAATACAACTTAAAGACATTCTCTCCCTTGAGTTCTGTTACCTGCACGGGGCTAGGAGCAGGGTGGCTTCCAGCATGTTGGTTTTGCTGCTGGCCAGTTGGTGTGGCAGAAGGCTGAGGATGCGGAGGATGCGGATGCAGGGTAGCATTAGGGTGGGCATACTGCTGAGCAAGTGAGCCAGTGGAAACTAGGATGAAAAAGAAGAATATTTAACAACAGATACATAACATGCATCTCATCAAGTCACCATCTGCACTTGAAGATTTCGCTATATCTCAAACATACTGTAAATATATTCCCTCCCCCTTCTAAAAAAAAATATTTATCTTGCAAATAGCTGAGTATCTTACCTTGCTTTTGTGTAGTTTGGTTTTGCAGGAAAGTCTATAAATAACCATAATTAGACAGTGCATCTTCCCTAGTTTGACAATGTAACAGATACTACATAGAAAAAAGCAGTATTTCATCTTTTGTTTTGTCAAACAGACCAGTTTAAAATATCAAATTTATCATTTTCATACAATTTAGTTTTTCCTGAAATATACTTTTCAAAGGTGTTACAAGCCATTTTTATTTCCACCATCCAAAAAATTCTTTGGCCTTATACCTGGCTAACCTCACCATGCTACTCTTCTGGAAATTGCTCACAGTACAGTCAGTGTAAAGTATATACACTGCATGTATGCTTAAGGGCTGTAGGGACACACAGGATATACATAACAGCTGAGAAAACTGAGGCTGCTTGAGCATCAAACTTTTGCTGAAGCCAGTATCTTGTACCAAAATAACTCATCTTTCCTCTCCCCTCAAGGCAGTCTCTTCTGGATCACCACCATTCTGTGAGCTTCTCAACATTGCCATGAAATTCTTAATTCCTTGAAACAGTAGCAAATAAGGTACAAAATTCCAAAAAAGGAACACAAACTTAGCAACATACAACTTTCACATCAGTGAAACCACATCTGTTGCTACAGCCACACCAGTCTCCAACAACAAATATCAACAAGTCCCTCCTTGAGGAGTCCTGCCCTGTTCTGCTTCGAAATGGGCCACACTACATTGGGGTTCTTTTTCACTTCTGAGGGAATCTAGGGAAGTATGAAAAGCCATAATGGTAGCAACTCTTCCTTTAAACACAAAGCATGCAACCAGAAAGCAAGACCCTAAGAAAATGAAGATGCTTTGCCTATTCCCCTCTATTGCTTTTTGATCTTGTGCAACAACCAGTCCACAGCTTGCAACTACACTTCTGCAGGTGACAACGCACACTACTCTCTCCAATATTACAGCTTGTCAAGGCCGAGGCTAGTTTTGCTGACAACAGTGCTAAGAGACAAACAGTCAAAGCAAACTATCAACCTGCTCCTGAATCTGTTCCCTGCAACTGTTCCTTTATTTGTTCTGCTACCTTTTTGTCATTCTGACAAGTTAATTACTGCTTACTATCAGCTTACAGCTTTTTTTAATGGGGTTTGTATTACATGAGAACTTGATGGCCCATGAAGCGCCTCTCTGCAGCATACCTTTAGAAGTGATGGGGTTTCTGGTGGTGTTTTCTTGCCCTAGTAAATAAACCTGAAAAGCAGGGCACAGGGAGAAACTTGGAGTGCAACTGTTTTGCCGCAACCACCTGCTCCGTGTATTCACAGCTAGCGAGATGTGTTACCTCATTTTTGCAAGTAACTGTTTGCTGCAGCTTCTGAAGAGTTTCACTGTGCTGGGCTCTGAGTTCATGAATACACAGAACTGCTTGAGTATATAAAGGATGAAAGACAAGATGGGTGGAGAAAATGGACAAAAATGTAGCTGCATCTGAAAGCACAATACTATTCAGCACAAGCAAGTCTCAAAAGGACAGCAACCCCACTGTGCTCTATTAACCAGCCCTGACACACCACTATCCTGTGCAAGTACTTGTTTTCCTCCAGTTTGGTTTGCTATAAAGCTTAGAAATACTAGTTCTAAAATATTCAAACTCACTAGAATACATATACCACATTTAACTTAATCCCGCCCTGCCGTCTTGAAAGCTCTATTGAATCTTCACTGAGCAAATGCCCCAACAGTGACGTGCACTACAGTTTCAGGCTATGAAGGCAGATGAACTTCATATACATTTGTAACCCTAAATTGCAGTTTGAGTTGATCCTAACATACTTATGCATGAGCATGTAAGTGTACTTAAGCACAAGTGTACAAACATACTCATACACTATGAGCATTTCTGATTGAGAGGGGTTTTGAAAACACCTCAATATTTTCTGCGCACACTGGCAAAACTACCAGTATCTTCTGCCACAGTGCTTTGTCACGCTTTCAAATGCAAGAAAAGTCTTTCTTTTCATATCGCTACTAAAATTTATTTTGCAGCAGCATCTCAACCCTGCTCCTATTTGACTTTCAACCTCTGCTCCTTCTTACAAGGACTACATGAAAATTATCATGGAAACACTGATCATTTTTACAGTATGAAGTTTACGGTTTCCTACAGTAGCAAAACTTCTCAACCTCATTATTAAACAACACTCTGAAGAAGGCCAGAAGTTACTATCTCTGTCAAAGTAATAGAAATAAATGCATAGAGGGGTTGACTTGTTTGCCAAAGGACATGCTGCCAGAGACCTTCCTCAGCTCTCACCCCACTGCTTCAGCCACAGAGCTGGCACGCCTAACTACAAATTAACTTCAGCTCCATTCAAGAGGTATTAAAATGTATATGAAAATTAATTCCAAGTTCTAAGATATTCAAGGCTTCCCACATCCTGCCACATTACTTGTTAAGAGCCCCCGAAATAATGTGGTACTCCCTTAAAACCATTTCTGCAATTCATCTTTCATTTCTTTATAGCCGAGAGAATAATAAACTAAGTTATTCTGAAGCAGATACATTATACAATAAAACTTCACAATGAAGAATTACTCTCTTAAGGAACCAGTTAAACTGAGGAATAGTACCCTGAAGAACAGATACACAAGCAGGAGGAGGATCAAGTTTTTGTCATAGTAGCAGCTCTTCCATAACCTTCTAATATCTTTTATCCACAGCTTTGCATTTAAAGTACCAGATTTTTTTATACTGAAGAATTTTTATTTGCCTCACTTGTCCTCTCCCCCATTTTGTCTTTAACAAATTACTCTAGTAAGCTCTACAAACTTGGTTAAAACTAGTTCAGATGCTGCTGCAAACTATATTTTAATAGTAGTATTAGAAGTGTCTTTCAAAAAATGTTATGTGGACACTTATCCGTGTACGTATCCTGTACAGATACTGCATACAAATCAGGAATCGTTCAGGACGAGTGGCAGCAAGTCCGAAACACGTGCACAGATCTTTGTTAGTTCAGACCCAGAGTTCAATCTTCAACTCCAGGAATGTAAAAGGTTTTCCATGTTTAGCTAGTGCAATTAATAGTTCCTGACAAACCAATGAAATCTATGAGACCAGCAAGCCTGTGAAAGAAGTCTTGCAAAACAGTCACAAGAAATTCACCTGCTTAGCCATAACCAAAGCACTTTCACTGGGACTTTTTTCAAGAATTTTGGCCTGTTCATCAAAACAGCTCACGAGACGTATCAAACAGCAAACAAGACAAGACAGGAGGTGGGGGGGGGAGGGGGAAATATCGCCCATCATCCATCATTTTCCCCCACTGTCAGTACTTTGGAGATTTTCCAAATGGCCATCTAGTATCCAAGAAAGTGCTGAGAAAGCTCTAGGAAAGGACAAAACAGCTCTGCATATCTCCTTGCTGCAAGCAACCTCAGCTCATTCCAGCAGAAATACAGTTTTCTCACCCTTTATGCCTTAACGTTCCTCTCCCCGAGAAATACTCCCTGGGCTAACCTGCTCCACTTCAGCATCTTTTTCATCATGTTGTTTCCTAACACATAGTATTTACCTGCACTAACCTTGCAGGGACACACAGTGAAGGTAAGTGATTCAGTAACGAAGTGAGCAAAAATATCAGATGGATTGAATTACTCAATTCAACTCTATAGAAGCGCAACCCATTTTTCTGAGAGGCAAACAAGTAGTAGTCAGCCACCAAACCCACAGTAGGAGCTGAAATCAAAAGAGGTCAGAGCAGCAGAAATCAAGCAGAACTCCCAGCTACAAGGGTATATGCAAAAACCATATAATGTAATTTCATATTTTCCCTGGTAGGAATTTCAGTGCTGCCAATGGTGGTCATCGTTGGTCATCATCCAAAGATGCACTGAAGAGCCTATTTGCAAGAACTGACCAGTGAACAAACTTCAAAACTATTGCCAGATCCAGTAAGATGGTGAGGATAACTACATTTAAAAGACCTGAATGGTAGGAAGCAAAGGAATAGCAAATATTTCTTTCATAATACAAACATTTAAAGAAGTCATTTTACACAGGTAGAGTGGACTTCACTTAAAAGATTATCCACGAAAGGAACGAGCTTATTAAAGTTATTTCAGTGCACCAAACCAAGACACATGAAAACAGGGCAGGTCAGCACCCTACAACACTAGTTCAAGCAGAACCATTTCTACAGGAAACACAGGAAGTCTGTTCCAGAAGAGACTTTTGGAGAACAAGTGCTATTTCTCACGTCCCTCTTGCATGAGCTAACTCAAAAAGCCCCAGAAGAGTGCCTGGCATAGGCTGCATGAACTTGCAGACAGACACACCAACAAGTCTCACTGCAGGACAGGAGCATGTTCGAAAATGCCCTGAAATTGCAGTCGTCCTTTCCCATGTCTTGGGTGACAACTACAGCTCATCCTGCAACCACCCCACCTCCCCCCAAAACGAGCTTCCTCTAAGTGCTACGAGCACCAACATACAAGGCAGTATTTTTTAGTTATCCGCCTTTCCCTGTGCACGCACACAACTGAAGTCTGTGTGAGCTGTTGTGTACTGAGAGTACGGAGAACATCAGCCCATCACCTAGGCTGATGGAGGTCACCAGCTCGGGCAACACCACGCAGGAGCACCGGAGCCAGGTAACGTAACTGATAACGTTCATCTGCCAAGGAGGAAGCATCCGATGCTATACACCGGCAAGGAGCCCCCATCTAGTCTCTCTCTTTATAAAAACGACAACTGCACTCCTTCCGTGACACCGAAGTAACTCCAGAAAGCTTCCTTCACCTCAGCTGCAACTCGAGTTATTTCCTCCCAGGGGCTCAGAAGTTGAGCCACAGCTTTTTAAAGAAACGAGGCACAAGACAGTTCTCCTTTTAGGAAGCAAATTAACTCGCCACGTTTTAAAATCCCATTTGGGCCATGAAAAGAAAGGGAGCAAGGCAGTTCACCTAGGTTTTAAGCAGAGGCTATCCACATGCAGCGCGCACTTCTGGTTGCAGATGAAAAGACTGGGTAGTAAAGTTAGAGGTTATTCGGCATGCAAAATACATTTTAAAAGACTGAAATCAGCTTCCTGTCCTCATATAAATCTGTTCAACAGCTTCATTGCCCTGTCCATGGAAAGGAACCTTCCTGCGTTTTCCACATACTGGTTTGGTGCAAGGAAACTTGTTCCCTCAACACGTCCCATTCCTTTAACATCTGTTCTTTAGAAAGTGCTTTTCTGTACAATCAAAATTAGTACAAAAAACCCAACTCACTGGCAAAGTAGAAAGAAGGGCCTGTCTCCTTGCTGTATGGTATTTTGGGACATGCTGAATTTGGGAAATAGAAAGGTAAATTAGCCTCTTGCCACGTGCATACTTCCCGTCTTCTGGAAAGGTCAGCATCATTTTTTTTTTTTTTAAGATTGTAGAACCATGCAGATATTTTTATTTACTTAGGTGCTATTAGAGCTGGATATTTAGTTTTACAAATGAGTGGAGATGAAACAACACAAGTCTCAGGTAAGCCTTTGTTCTAAACTGTGACACTGAGATCTTCAGTTCTTAATTAACACAAAATTAAACTTTATGTCAATTAATGGCCTATTACAGTCCACTGTAATAAGAAGGTTAAAACGTAATTACATTAAAACAGAAATTGGCCCCTTGCTTTTTCAGCTATATCACTGTCATTCTTAACAGTTCCAAGACACCTTTGGTGACTGGTTCACTCTTACTCCCTGGAGAATCCTCTGAAGTTTATATTATATCCACCATTGTACTATCAGGGTAATAGAATTTACTCTACTGCTGAGACAGAAACCAGATAAAGTTAGAGACAACACTAGACCAGTAAAACATATGCAGAAGGGGAAAAGGGAAGGGAGAATGGGGACAGGAATGAGAGCACAAAAAACAGGAAATGCATCTGTATAAAACCGAGGTCTGGTTTTACACAAGTTTGTTTTTAAACACAAAAGTAAAGTTTTTCAGAGAACCCCAGTTATCTGAAAACACAGGCAATTCAGCTACATGGTAAAACTAACACAAGTTCATTGTCACAGGATTCAATACATCCACCCTCTACTTAGACAACCAAATTTTCTAACAGCACAAGGCAAGTTTAGGTCTTTGTGCGACACAGACCAAGCACTCAAACTGCAAACCGTGGCCAGCAAACTCTACCAGCCCAATGGTACTGGAATCGGGGAGATCACACAGAGCCAACGCTTCCATTCAGCAGGGTAAGAGCGACAACTCTGCCTTCAGGTATTTGCGTGTGGCAGTTAAAGGTGCGTGTACTGCTCTGCTGCAGCAGTGCCTGCGTTTCAAACTTTCCTTGATAAGGACATCTAAGTGGCTCACGTCTCCAGAAGTTACGAGCTGAAGTGTGTAATAAACGTTTTTATCGTCTGGCTGGTAGATGGGAAGAAAAGAGAGTTGCTTGAACCTTTTCCTTCCCAATTGTGTTTTGAGGGGAAAAACGCAATGATTTAAACACTCCTCTGTCATATGTTTAGATGGGTCTACTGGTGACTGTGCAGCTCAGCTGCTCTGCTTCTCTTGAGCTCTTGTCAACACCGGGTTGTGAAACAGAAGCAGGACACTGTAACGACTAGCAAGGAAATCCCAGAAGTGCAGAAATATCCCATTAAACAGCATTAGAAAAAAATACTTCTCGTTAAAATGGAAGAGCGCCTATCAACAAGTGTAGGTCACTGTATGCATTCTGGATTCAGCTATCTCTTCATGAGACAGGAAGGAACACAAAACCCAAACTTCTGGCAGTGAGGGTAGTTCACTTAACGGATCAACAGGCATTTCTCTTCGCTGGCAGGCAGTTACTACTTGCCACAGACTTTCAACTTGTCTCAAACCATTAGTGAAGATGGAGTTTCAGATCTCACCAGAAAACATTTCACACCAAGAATACTTCGTAAGCAGTGCCCCCCAACCCCCACATCTCAGTGTGGTTGTCCTTGCAGACATCTTCTCTCTACCACATACGCAGGAAAAAAATTGAGTGCATTCTGCAAGAATTATCTCAAAGAAAGCACTAGTACCTTGAAGGATAAAAGGGCAGTATAGCCCACTGAATCCTGATATCAAGGGGGGGTAGTTTAATTTTTTTTTTTTCTTTTAATCAGATAGCAATTTTAAAGAGCCCAAAGGAAATCTAAGAACTTGTTTGAGCAAGTGCTCCAGAAACCAAAAGCAGCAGTGGTTGTTGTTTCTCAAAAGCTGTTATTCTGTACTTTCAAATTAGTTTTAAGAGAGGACCAGAATCAAAGTGCATTGGTATATTTAGTTCAAAGATACTGTGGGTAAATTTAAGATTCCCGAAATACAGAACGTAAGTTACGGATACTTTCTTATAGTCACTCAATCAGATGTGAATGATCCCAGGACGTTGTTCTTTAGCAATGTACTCCATAAACAGCTTATATTTATCACCTTAGGCATTTCTACATTTTTCCCAAGCGTTCCCATATCGATAAATGGAAGCTCAAGTGAATACGTTACAGATGGACACATTTTGAGGAAACACAATCCGTTTAGGCAAGGTCTTCAAGTACTCGGCACAGGGAAGACTTGCAAAAATCTGAATTGAGAGAGTGTTGCACTACATCAGAAGTCATTTCATGTGTAGCTAACTGGAAACTTTGCAGGTTAAGGGTACATTTGAGCCAATTCATGTTCACTAGGCAATAAACACGTCTGCACATGGCAAGAACATAACTCTTAAAAAAAGTGTCTCATGTGGCGTTCATGATCCAGCTGGGTTGAGTGGTTTCAATAGCAAGAATTTCAAGCACTTGATCATTTACTGGGAAGGCAGGAGAATATTTAGAAGAGTCACCAAGTAGCTACTTGAAAGAACACAGGAGGACATGCAATTTCTGTTAAATCAGGTGCTCTTGGAAAAGTAATATTTAATTACATGGCAGGAAATACCAAAGAATTCTCAAGTTTGACCCAACTTAGTTGTCTGCACTGGTAGGTAGTCACACACCTACAACAGACAAGCTGCAAAACCAACACAAAATGAGATCTAACAGTTGTAAGTTAGAATATCAGTGAAAAAACTATACAGACATCTGATCAAAGCCAACCAAGGGAACAGGCTTGTACTTCAAAGCTGTACAACCCACTGGTTACAGAAGATAAGGATGGTGCACAATGGGAAATCGCTAGGAAGTCACATGCAACCATTCTGAATCAAATCTCAGATTATCTCATGTTTGGTTTTATTTTAATTAGGATTTGAGAGGAGAGTTTTCACCAATAAAGGTCTGAAAGCCTTTGATCATTCACTTTATCGGAATTCTATTTAATCTAATGAAAAAGCAAACAGAAGATCTGTTTACATGGACACCTCAAGCACAAGAGTTGAAAAGATCAAAGTAATACAATTAGCAAGGACCTGTGAGAAAAAGACTTAATCTCTACAAGTAACTTCCATTTCAGCTTCAGCACAAATGAGCTGAAATGTTCTTCCTCCAAGTGTCAAAAAAGGTTTCTCTCTATTATTTTTGTTTCTTGGCTATGTTGCCATACCACTGCAGAGATCTGAAAGGATGTTTTCAGATGGGTAAGACACAGACTTTTTAAAATCAGAATTAATTTCACACTAAACTTCAGATTCTTAGCCTTGTAAGTTTTCATGACACATCACGGACTTCCATTACGTAGCAGTGTAAAACTAAGCACCGGAAAACATACAAAGATGTCTAAAGGTACAGAAAATCTTTTATTAGAATCTAAGTCAATAATATAAGTGACCCAATAAAAGTCTTCCTCAGATGCTATAACAAGTATTGAAATGCCACGTTTTCAAGAGACCACCTGCTGTTTTGACATTTTATGACAATTTCCAAGCCTTCTAGCAACCTTGATTCTACCTCTTTCAACAGCATGTTTTGCCGTGAGTTTCTTCCTCTGAATTGGGCATTGATTTATCATACATTTATAACGCTTTAGAAGTTCTTTCACATTTTACTTTGTAACAAGGTAACCCACATTTTCAGCACTTCACTGTTAAGTGAAATATGCCCATCTGATAATGCTGGAGACTAATTGTCAAAGTCAGAGCAATACATGAGCTGTTTCATATACTTATTCCTGACTTACCAAAAAAGAAAGGTAAGCAACACATGTTTTATTTTGCTTAAACAGCAGTGTTCATACTGTTAATAATGCTAGTAGTATCATAAAGACAGCATTTCACTAGTTGTCAGAACTAAAGTCAAGTTTTGAAACTGAGGTCAAACTTGCAATAAAACAAGTCCTAATTATAATCAAGAAACAATCAAGGGATGTTGTGTCAAGAGCATCAAGAGAACTTGAACAAACTTCTTTCAGCAGATATTCTTTAGCAGCTCCCAGGTTGAAATTTCATCTTGGTCACTGGCATCCTACTGAAATCAGCATACTTGAGTTCTCATTTTAACCAGGTGGCTCAGTTTTCAATGCTCTGCTCATCATCTTATGAAATATAAACCACATCTACTGGTGTAATCTGAATGTTACCCATGTTTGAAGCTTGAGATTAAATACATCCCTGCACAACATAAGAACTTAAAAAGTTACATATAACACAAAACGTTTCCTACCATACATAGCATGCGTCTGTTCATGCGCACCATACTGTGTTGCAGAAGAAGATACTAAACCAGGCTGTGCGTGTGTTGGTGGTGCCATCATTCTAGCGTTGCCCTGTATTACAGGGCTATAAACATGAGGATGCTGCATTCAACAGAAATAAGAAAACAGACAGTTAATTGGAGGACTGTTACAAAGAAACTAGTGTAATCTAAGCAATAATTATGTATTTAGAAACAGTAATAGCTTAGCCTTACTAAAATGCAGAGCAAACTAAAGATTTCATACTATCACAATTATCCCAATTGTTTCTAAAAATTTACAGACGTTTTCTGCAGTGGGCTAGAAACTGACAAAAACCATTGGCACATCTAATTTTTGCCACTCTACTAATGTAGTAAGCTCCTGTATGTAATTATATACTTATCAAATTACATATGTATATTTAAAAGCCTTTGAAGTAAGAGGAGTACACCAAATAGTTTATTTTTAGAACACGTAAATAGGAGATGTCCTGGCTGTGACCTGAAAGGAATTGTTCAAAGAGCTAAAAAGGTAGTATCACTAATAAATGCCAACTTCTAAATGGGTCTTAAAATTTGCTTACAGGCTTTGAAGCACATTACACCACCACCAAGTATGCTCCAGAACACAGAAACTGTTCAGAGGGACTTCTCACGACTGGGGACAATAGGGTATTTAGGACTGAACCACTTAATTATTTCTGGTTTGACTTACCACATACGCTCGAACTCTTACCTGAGATTGGTAGTGTGGCACATGCTGCACAAGAGGCTGATTAGGAAACTGTTGGGGACTATATGCAACATATTGTGTTGAATAAGCAGGTGGCGTAGCTACAATTGGAGGGCCTGCTGCTGAGGCAGGGTGCATCATGGTGCTCTGATGATGTTGGTCTTGCCGTTGCTGTGGCATATTTGGTACTACAAAGCAAAGAATGCCTCACGTTAGAAACACAGAACGAAGAATGATGATCTTCCTGAAAGGTTTTACATTACAATGTCACTGTGACCAAGTGGAATATCCTCACCCCTCACCTTTAACCACATATTAGAGCTCTATCAAAAAGGAACAGCATGAAAAGGAGTTTCTCCAAGAAACATTTGATTTTCATCACTGCCTTTGAGCCATGTACATGGCCACAAACCCAGGCCTGCTCTTTTTGTGAAGGAAGGAAGGAAGGTGGAGGGAGAGAAAGACTGACAAGAATCAGTAACGGAAGAGAACAGTTATATCAGGATACCTACATTAATCAAATGTGATCCTGTCCCCTTCAAAAGGCTTAATTCACCCGCTATGGGAACTACTCAGCAACTGTTCCATCAACTGGAAAGCTGACTCTGTTAAAATGACTTGTGCTTATGGCTGAGGAGAGCAGAAAAAAGGTCTCCACAGAGCCGCAATTTGAGGTATTCACATCTTTTAAGCTTTGGGCTACCCCTCAGGATAGCAGAAAGCAACTTTTAGGTCACAGTCAACACTGAAGGGGACAAGTCAACCTATAAGATGAGGAGGAGTAGGAATAATTAGAGGGAAGAAAGATTAAGAGAGCAGAGCACTGTAGTGTGGGACTACCTGAGCTATCCTGGTAAGACGACCAACCGAACCACAGCAGCAAGGCACTCAGAACAAACTAATTCAGCCTACTAAGCAACAGGGCATGAGAGTTCAAGGTGAGCTCCAGCTTGCTGCAGTGAGACTGCAACTAATAACTAAGCTAACTCAAGCACCTGTAAACTCCACTGCAGTGTGCAATGTAGACAGACCCCTTAGAGAGAGGAAAGGAGGGAAATGTTGAAGATGTCAGTAAATTCACTCAGTGATGATTGTATTTACACTGCAAATCAACAATAGAAAAAAGTAAATACAGGAGGCAACTTGAACAGCGTAAAGGCACTGAACTTTAACTCACGCAGCTCCTTCAGGACTATGCTGCGCACAGCATGGATACGCAGAAAATAGTGAAACTTAAAAAAGGAATTCAGAACAGGAGAGCAGCCTCACACAGCAAGTAAGTACAGGGCAATGTACTTCTGATTAAAACAATCAGTGTTACCAACCAAAAGATTTCATGGGTCAGGCCACAGTAAAGTTAGTGTGTTTTAAAATAGAAATACATTGCAGGTTTTTGTCTTCCCTACATTCATAAAGGCTACTTGTTTATTTCTAAGCAGCAGAACTGCTCTTTTAAACAATTTCCTCCTCCAGTGACTGGAGCTGCAGCACTGGAACCTATCATCATGAACCACTGTATAAAATTGCAAGAAAGCATGCACTGTGTAGAATTAGAGCATTATCTGAAACATGACTATAAAAACAAGACCATCATTTTTCTGCTCCTTCGCTGCACTGCACAGAAGAGACTGCATCTTGCCACACATGTTCTCGTCTCCATAGCCACAGGTGTCACTTGTTAAAAACATGGTATTGTTAGTCCAGCTGTTCAGTTACTGTTGCAGAAAGAATGCAAAAGAACAAACTGGAACCAGCAGTAAGTTCCTTCCAGAAGAGCAGCATAGCATACTCTTTCTGAAGAAACAGCGATTTTGCTTGTTGACAAAAAACCTCTCTGCTAAAGCACCATTCAGGGCTCTGCTGTAAACCAGTACAGAAAACCAGTACAGAAAAGTTCCCTTTAAACAAACCCGTAACATTTATGAAATATAGGAGACGATCAGCTTACCCTAACGTTCCAAGTAACAGAGACGTTTTCCCATTTGTCAAATCAAATTCCAAACCAAGCAACTCCCCATTACTCAAACTTAACATGTTGTGCCTGAATTAGTTTATCTAGAAATGCATTCGTATTTCCACTTACTTTCCTTTATTAAAAATAGCATTTAAAATATCAGTCAAAAACAAATTAACATGGTTTAGAAAATACACAAACATCTGTAATTTATTCATGCTGCATGCAGACTAAGAACCAAACAGGCAGTATTATTCTCACCTTTACCTGCTCTATATGTCTTGGCTTGGTTCACTGGCATGGGCGTCATGGGAATAGGATACAAAGGCTGAAACAGAAGGATGAGTTGAAGCTATGATATTCCTTTAAAAAGTAAGTGTGTGTCTGGGTGGGGGCCCCACTCAGCTTTGATGTGTTTTACTCTGTTATGTTACATGCTTTAGTGAACTCTGCCTATTCCCATTCCTATGGTATTTTCTTGGATCACTGTGATCAAGCCTGCACATACAAACAACTAAGACCATATGGTTTGCAACAACCAGTCAAGTAATGCTACTACTGCCACTTCAAGCAATGTACTAAATCAGACAGCTTTATAACAGAGTTAGACTTGAAATCCTAGTAGTCCCTACAACCATCAGAAACTAGTGGGACACAGCTAGAAGCTAAGGACGAGGAAACAGTTGCTTAAAACTTAAAAAGAGTAAGACTATGCTTGGAGGACTGAGGACCTATGTCTGCAGAGATTTAACAATACATGTGAGTAAGAGCTGCTGGAATTTACAAGTGTTTGAGAGTATTAGAACATCTAGGTTGAGGGACTACTGGGAAAAGCCAGCATTTACAGAGCTAAAATATAACAACAATGTAATTGTGCCATATTTACAAGAGTAATACAAGCTGTACCATTTCACTTTTTTAACTTAGATCTCCTAAGTCTCCTCAACTTGCTGACAATCATCTGAAAAGTGTTAACAAGTCTGCAGCATACGTTGCACTTTACCTGCACGCCTGGACTCACTGGAACTGGGTACATCATATTTGGTGCGAAACAAACAGGCTGAGTGTACACTGGAGTTGGCTGCTGATGACCCACCATGGAGGGGCTAGGTTGAGCTTGCGGACGAGGGGAGGTTGGTGTAGTAGAAGGTTTCGGCTACAAACAGAGTTCAGCAATGCATACGCACGATTAGCTTGATTATCCTCCAAGTAAAAGGTGTGCTTAAAAGGCAATGTTAAACAGGATCAAATAACTTACTTGAGCAAAAGATCGAGGGTTGAACTCTTTTGCATTAGGATTAAGGGTTGATTTTCTAACTTGCCTGAAAATAAAGAACAAAAAAATGTGTTCAGCATTATTCTTTTACAAGTGTATCTGCAGAACTCCCTAACAATTAAAAATTTAAGAGATGAAATACCTCATTTCCATCCGTGAGGCAAATTTTTGAGAACTCAAACAACACATGGCATGCAAAATCCACTCTTACTGATGGTACTCTTACTATACTTGTTCATTAAAGTTTTCCTGCTGTTGATACCACAGCTCACATGAGTCAGGAAAACATTTACATAAGCGTTTAGATATAGATTAGGCATCAACAGGACCAGAGTTCTATATGCAGCTCTGCCACTGACTCATGAGCTGACTTTCAGTACAGTCACTTCACCTGTTGTTTTCTCTGTATACCAGAGAGAACTTGTATCAGCCATATATAAACAGTAAGATATTACACACTCATAATAGCTTTTTCTACAAATGGCTAAATGCTAATAACAGATGTGCTTATTTCTAAAAGATGTAATTACTCACTCAGAAGTATCTTTCTTCTCCTCTTTATCCTCTTTATCTTGTTTACTTCCAGGCCCAGATGTCTGTACACCTTGTGAAGTTACCTCAGGCCCTCGCTTTTGCTCAGAACTATTACTTATCGAAGGAGAAATACTTGGACTATTAGGTTTGCTACTGCCACCGTTAGAGTTAGTATTACTGCCAGTTTCTATGATAGATTCTTTAGGGGTTGAGTCTGTCTTTTCTTTAACTACATCTCTTGATTTTTCACCTTCTCGGGTTTTGTTTAGCAGCTGATCCACTGCATCTGAAGAGGAACTCGATTGTAACTGAAAAAAACCCCAAGGAATATATTCAGTAAATTGATATACAGAACTAGGGAGAGATAATCTCATGCTATCACATACACAGAGTACAATACAGTCCCATAGGTCTCAATCATCTGGAAATGACCTTTTAAAACACACATTTCCATTTCTACTAAAAAAGAGATCTATGAACATTGACAATGTTTTAAGCCCACACTGTGAAAGAAGCTATTCAGCGACTCAACTGACCTATGTGTTGATTAGGAAGTGACAGGAAAGCTTAAGACGACCCTCTGGACTCATCCCTCTGTGTGATTTAACAGTAACACTTGAAAAGCTAACCTGATTTAATAAACCATTATAACCAGGAAATAAGTAATAGGAATTCATCTTCAATTTTCCTCAGCAAAACCCTTTAATTTTGAAACAGCTCTTCCATATGGAGTGTAAATGCGATAATTATTTGTACGTAACGATCAAACAGGTTTCAAGTATTATTTTCAGTGTACAGTCAATACGCACATTTACATGTATTAGGCAATTGTACTAGCAAGAGTCAGCATTGATTTTATAATATCTAGCACGAATTCTTATATTTTCATAAATTAAGCACAAGCAGTAAGGACCTGTTTTCCTGTTGACACATGCAGCGCATTCAATTCATTAAAATGATCTGGATGCACTTGAGAACTATGATACCATTAAGTTAACATACAGAGAAACTTACCCTAAAGTCATTCTTAAATTTCTTTAAATCATCAATCTGTTTTCTATGTTCTGAAACAATTGGAGATACACCTGCCAAATATAAGACCAACGTTGTCCAAGCATTTCTAATACAAGTTTTATATACAACCCCTACACAGTACTAAGTTTGAAAAAGGTAATGTTTGCGTATCTAAAAATGAAATACAGTGATATCATTTCATCTCTAATTTGGTATAATCCCATGAACTACCTGTATGAGCACACAAAAACACTCTGTCAAACCACAACACTACGTAACTGACGTATCTATAGCTCTAACGCATCACACCAAGACAGAAGCCCTGAGGTGCAGGGACTGCAGAACTCAGCTGAAGACGAAGAAGTATGCAACAAAACCCTCAAAACGTAACATGCCAGCACTTCAAGACATAGCAAGCAAAGGTGAAACACTGATCAAGGTTAGCTTTACAGTTGGACTCGATGACCTTAAAGGTCTTTTCCAACCTAAGTGATTCTATGATTCCAAGTTCAACACCATGAAAACATTGAGAACTGAATGAACAAACAATGCCACAGAGACAGCCAAATTTAAGGCATAATAGGAAGAAGTACAGTCACAAAAAACTATGCTGATCATGATGCTCAGAAGAATTGTGAGCATAGCTCTAAGTAGAAACACTCATTCAGTCCAAAGACAGCTAAAAATACAGCTTTGTGGGCAGGAAAAAGAAAGAAGAGAAACAAACAAACAAACAAACAAAAACCAAGAGAAGAAAAAAAAAACAAACAGTGACAAGAAATCACACCATCCGCATGAGCATCTCTACACTTCGTCTTGATGAAATGAGTCAAGAACAACATTAAAATTGTAGGCCTGCCACTTCATCACTGCATGACCAAATTTTTGCTGTAGAACACCCAAGCCAGATTGCCTCCCAGTCTTCCTTAAAATGCTAACTAAAGCAGTCAATATAGCAGGTTTAGTGCTTGGAATTCCTACATTACTCAAGTATATATGAAAGCTTTTGATACAAACCTTTGTTTTCAGGTTTAGGAAAACTAGGAGAAGTCTCACTTGGCTTTATATTCTCCTTGTTTCCAGTTGCAGAATTTTGCCTCTGGTCCTGAAGCCTAGTATCTTTAGCTAGAAAAGAAATTGCCAAAGTTATTCTCTTACACACAACTCAAACTGACCAAAGAGAGACTGCAAGATAGAAAACAGAAGAGAGATTTAACCATGTGTAGCTTACAAAAGAAAACCCCTGAGTTACAGATTTTCTGCTACCTAGTTAGGGCCTGGAGGGTTATCCTCCCCCCTTCCCTACCCTACTCTCTTTAAGCCAAATGAAAAAGTCCCAGTCAAACGCATCCCTCCCATCATACACAGAACCTTAACTAAGCTGAAAAACTGTAAGCTGAGAGCCAATTATTTTCAATAGTCCAAGCTCTTCATACAGAACGCTACAAAGATTTGAGAGTTCTTAGACATTTGACTGTGCTCTTGAATGTTTCTTTTCCCCCTTCCTTTCACTATGTTCAAAATACCCTTTGAAACCAGTGGCCTACGTTTCTTTGAATTAGAAAACAGCCAGGCACTCAGTTTGAAAAAAATCCTCAATTAAGTCAAACACCCATAAGCCCATACTCCTTAAAGGGCACAAGAAATTAAGCATACAGACAGACTTATCAAAAAGCCTCTCTCCAACCTTAGTTTAAAGCTAGCATCATGAGAAAAGGGGAACTCGCTACACAGTAAAATTAAATGCATCAGAAGTTTTCCCATTATTTAGAAAGCAGCTTTGCTTTTGTATAGGCATATTCATTGTCAGGGATTAGGGAAAGGGAGGATTTGGAAGCTAGCAAGGGTAACGTACCTTCGCTGGAAGGGGTAACTGCTCTGTTGGATGCAGGGCTGGCAGGTGTAGGAGAGGCAGCTGGAACAGGCATGGCAACAGATTCAGTGGGAATAGCACCAGGCTGGGGAGAAGGCAGAGCTGGTCCCGTGGGAGTGCTGCTCTGCCTTGGAGACCTAGGCCTGTGTGTTTTAGGGGATAATCTCGGAACTAGAAACAAACAGGAAAAAACAGTTATAGGACAAGTTTCCTCATCTGCTCAGCAGTTTTCTTATTTTTAAAATGACTAAAAACATGCTTTAAAATACTTAGTGGAACATCAGATAGTAATTGAAAACCTGTTTACCTTTCAGGTACATCTCCTAGTTCTTTACAACGCAGCATTTCAGATAAGTGGTGCAATTTTTCTGCAGATTGTCCCCTAATATATATTACTGCCCTGTAGTCCCACCATGAAACTGCAATATGCTCCCCAGCCCCCCAGTAGTACAACTACAACAGCTCACATTAACACAGTTTCAGGCAGAACAGAAAAGGTGGTCAGGTCTCCATACAAACAGATGTAAAACATTTTTTAAAGGGCTGAAAAAACACATCCGTTTTACAGCGTCCTCTTTTGGAGGTTTGCCAGCTGGAAAAAAAACAACATATCCTATTGAAAGAAGATTATTTGATGTATATTTTTGCCCCTGTGTTAAAGCAGCAAGGAAAGTTGTATATTCTTTAAATGGTAAGTTGTACCTCCTGCTTCCTGTTCATCCCACTGTGGCTAGTTAGGTGCTTTACATCACATATTAACTTCAAGTGAGCGAGGAGAAAGAGAGATAAGTTGTTTAACAGTCCTACTTGCATGTTAATAATATATAAGTGCAGACTGGGGAGGGAAGATGAATCAGATATAATGCCAGAACAGAAGAGTTTAAATGTTTTCCACAAGGCAACAGGTCTATGGGGGTCTAACTCACACCTTCTTTCTGAAAAATGCATTCCCACTACACTCCTCTAGAATTCTAGCACTGCTAAAAAGTATCACTCTAAACTGTTGCTTACTTGCCCTTTGATTCAAGACAGCGCCCAGGTGCTGACAACTCACTAGAACACGGTCCCAACTACAAAAGCTCGAGACTAGGGCCTATGTCACGAGACTGAGCTTTAAATTTGAAGTCGAATATTAAAAAAGACGTTAACTGATTCAAAAAAGAAGAGGCACTGACTATTATCTGCTACTACAGTACTTAGACAAACACAAAATGACCACTTAAAACCTTCATCATATTTAAAGGAAAAATATAACCAACTTAACTTGAATATCGTTTCATCTTCTCTTTTAACACCAACCTTCCTCTATCCAAACACCTCCTCCATTTGTAAATCACAACCCAATTACACTGCCATTAACCACATTCAGTGATGCAATGGAACGTATATAACTTTACTTCTTTTCAGTAACTTTCCTAAAAATTACTTCTTTCAACAACTAATTCCCACATTTTTCCTTCCTTTCTCTTCATACACCATCTGACTTTACCTCTCTGCAGTTAAGACAATATTGCACCCAAAGGACCAACTCACCAACTATTGTACTAAGCTACCTGGGAACATCCTTCTCCCACTTCATCTGAGCACGCTAAGTTAGCAGTCCAGTGTTTATTCAGAGCCTGAATTGTCTAGAAATGCAGTATTCTGCTTAGCATTCACACTCTAAAGTACCCCTAGCAAGCCATCTGCAATAAGCCAAGCTTTACCTACCCCCACTGACAACTGATGACCACGTCCCACCTGAAGGGCTGCCTCGTGCCACTGCAGTAGTAGATGCTTCCCCTGGTGCATTATGAGATACAAATTCTAAGCCACTTGAAATTGTACCCCTACCAGTAGAGACTCTGTGACCTCGAGGGTGCCGTTGTGCCTTAGGAGACATCCGTGGAGGCCCTGAGAAAAAGAAGACAACCCCACACAATAAGTACTTCACGTCCATCACTAAGAGTACCCAAACATACTATCTGTTTTTAAAACTGGATTTAATCTAAAAACTCTCAATAATGCAGTAATACAGTCAAGCAATTTACACTGACATCGACTAGAACCAGGGATCCACGAGACTCAAAAGGCCAAGCCATTGGTCCAGCCAGACTACCAACACACTCATCACCTTGCTAGGACAGCTCACGTTCATTGATATTTAGAAGCTTGATCAGAATTGAAACAGGTATGCAAGTCCTGGATTTAAAATATTTGAATCCCAAGTATCCAATATTGCTTACTGCAAGACAAGCCGAAAAGGTTAGTGGCCCAGCTCCCTCTGGATAAGCACAGTTCCAGGCTATCAAACATTTTCCAGAAAAGAAAAAATTTCCTTTGCTTTTGTCAGGTAGTTAGTGATACCAAACATTTATTTACAGAGTAGTCACCACTGGCTGACCAATGCTCTTGGGGAATTTCAGCAGAGCATTCTGCGCCGAGGCTAAATTGCCTGCAGCAGGTCACAATTCATTTACAAGTCAGCAAAATTGCAACTAAACAAGTTATTGTTATCCCAAGGTTCAAGTCATGCATGTTTAACATCAGAAGCTAAAGTCATAAGTGAACACAGTAATTCTGAACAGCTTATACGGCTGCCACAGAATAGTTATGCTCAAGTCTAAGCAGCAATAGTTTCTACATCCTAACGAACATTTTCTTTACAAGATCAGACTCAGATGTTGATACTTCAAAAGGAAAAACTGTGTATGAACAGAAGACAATCTGGTTGATTACAGTTCATCTTTAACGTAGGTCAATAACAGAGAAAAGTTCAGATAATGGCTTTCTGGTTTCAGATAAGGTTCTAAAATATCAAGTACGTCTTCTGGTTACGTAAATCTTTAAATGTCAGACTCTATTTTAACCATGAATCTGAAGTACACTTCAATCCAAGTTATATACAGGCAAGTATTTTAAAGAATACACGCTTTCCAGCAATCCTCTTCTACTAGCAGAAATTAAATGTTGCAGTAAGCAGCAGTCCACTGCATGCCTGACAAATCAATCGCCAGTGCTAAAAAATAACTGAATTTGCATGTGGATTCTCAGTATCTTACTACATTAAAAAAGCTCACATGGATAAATTGACAGTAGCGCGCTGTACAGACGTGCTTACTACCATCCACTTTCTGGTTCTGGACCACCTTGAGCATTTATCAGGCAAGCTGCAGAACTGCATTACTGATTCAATCAGCGGGATGACTGTTCTCTCTCCCGTGGCTCCAGTGGAGCCAGCTACAGCAGAGACTGCAAGTTTCCAGGGAGTTTAATATAACCAGTTTGCATTTTTCCAGGCTTGCTAGACCGTGCTGTGCAGGCTAGTTTTTAAGTGCACTTAAATAAAATAAAAATTTAAAAATGTGTTCCTTACTGTACCCTCAGAGGACAAACAAATTTAGTTCAGATACTTCTGCATACAGTTCCCGAAAACTCATGGGTTAGCCTTTCTCTGCATACTATTGACTGCTAGGGAGCTGACTTATTGTTCTGCCTCAGTGCAAACAGATCTAAAGTCTTCTACAGATTCGCCTTTGAAGCAGCTTATCCTATCCCCTTCCACAGTGCACTTCTCTGAATACAGCATTTTTAAAATTATAATTATTAGTGTTTTTTTATAAAAGGTAATTCAATGACTTAGTTAAATTTGAAACTGCTTTTTGTGGAACAACTATATTAAAATATTTTAATTTTTATATAAATTTATATTCCTAAAAATGCCCTCTAAAGTTATCAGGTCCTGCATGTTGCTGTTGGTTAAGTTAAGACACTGAGCAGCGTTTACAAAGCTGAGCTGATTTCATACCAACTTGGGAAATGTCACAGCTTTATTTTGTTTTTGTAAAGTTCTTCAAATAAAAAGGTTAATAGAAATAGTCTGATAAACTAAAGTTAAACACAAATTATAGGTTAAGTAATGAAGAGGAAAAACAATTTTGTAATTAAACTCACAAAGGAGTTAAACAAAGACAAACAAAACCATGAACAAATCGTGGTATTGTACCTTCTGAAGACATGCGTTTAGGCATAGTAGAGACAGGAGCTGGAGAACCATGAGCAGAGGGGTGAGACGGGGGCCTGGAGGGCCGCGAGGGGGGCCTGGAGGGCGGCCGTGTAGGGGTGGCTGCCCGAGGTGGAAGAGAGTTGGGACCTGACTGGTAGCGAGAAGGTGGGCGAGAGGAAGGAGATGGGCAAGGCGATGGCCAGGGAACACCTGACAGAACAAATGATATGAAGGAAAGTATAAAAACTAAAGAAAAATTATGGGGAAAAAGGTCAACAGAAAAAAAAAGTAAAATATGACAAAATGATTTTTCATGTTTAACCCTTTGGGGATAGATTAGTTTATTTCTGCAACCAATACAATAGTCTCTGCAAGGTTATTTCCTCCACTTCAGGTCAAATTTAACATCTGAATGTCACAAATTCCCCAAAGGGTTAATTAGGATCTACAAATACTACTAAGGAATAGACAGTAAAGTTTGATCTGTTAGCCTATCATATATATGTTCTACAGTACGCATCACTCTTGACAAGGTCCTTAAATAGCTACCAGAGGTTCTCGAACAGCGGTTCACATATAGTATTGACTACACAAACTGCTACTTTCAAACCAAATGATGAGCAATATCAATTCTAGGAACTGTATCTTTACAAAAAACAGCGGTGTTCAGTGTCTGAATCCTGACATTTATGCCTTTATCAGTTATCTGAAGTATTAATGTATGATTTTAATCTAGGATATAGGGTTCATTGTTTCCAAAACAAAGAAATTGAATTCACAAGCCATTCTGAATATTTTAGGTATATGATGTTCATTCAGCAGAGTAACAGGATGACAGAAACCACAAATACTATGAACAAATTTCAAGATTAGCATTGTCTGGGCAAGACTCAGTTGTACATCCTTTATACAGCTGACTCTGTATTTGAAAAGGAAGTCCCACTTACCTTTAGATGTTTCTCAGACTTCCTCTCCAGATAGAGGCACTTGAGTATTATACATTTTTCATTTATTCACAGCAATCTCATATAATAGGATTTTTAACTTATAAGAATAATGCCTCAAGGATAGGCTACTGCTGAAATCCATCTCCAAAAATGGTGTTTGGTTTATGAAACACATTTCTGCTGCCCACTTACCTTTAGATGTTTCTCAGACTTCCTCTCCAGATAGAGGCACTTGAGTATTATACATTTTTCATTTATTCACAGCAATCTCATATAATAGGATTTTTAACTTATAAGAATAATGCCTCAAGGATAGGCTACTGCTGAAATCCATCTCCAAAAATGGTGTTTGGTTTATGAAACACCGATTCCCGCTGTACAGTGCCCAGTGATGTCTATTTATAAATATTACCCATGTGTATAGCAGAAAATACTCAAATAGCTATTTGGAGAGAAGGCTTTTGATTCCTTTTCCCCTAACACTTCTCTTACTTTCCCAACAATGATTTTCTCCCCCCACATCATCATAAAGTCAGTGAGTTGCTTTATTCTTTTTAACGGGAAACAGAATTGATCCATGCACCAGAAAGTAAGAGTGATGCTTCCTCGGCTGCCACCTCCCTTTCACTAGGTGTCAGCATTGCTGCTCCTCCACACAGAGCTTAGCAGTAGTAATTCCTACAGCAATTTTTGATCTTTAAATCCGCATACTGCACCATCATCTAAGACAAAGGTGTTTGAGAAAGAAAACAAGAGACACTTCTGCTCCGCAAAGCTGCGTACGGTGCAGTCAAATGCATGTTCCATTATGAGGAAGTTAAACCCAAATCAAAATCACAACCTCTGTGTTAAATGATGAATGCTAACCTAGCTTATGAAATACATACCCTAAGACCACACCATATGCAGTTTCAACATGATTAGATAATTGACTGCAATTTTATAAGGTACATTCGTTTAGACTTCAGATACTTGCCTCCGTTAACTACTCTTTGATCTGCTCCAGAGTTAGGACTGAATTCTGAAGTATGGGATCCAGACCTTGAAATTGGTGGGCCTGATCCAGACTGGCCCATCCTTGGTGAGTTTTGTCTTCCACTTCCCCAGGACAGGACATCTCTGTTCCTCTGTCCAGGTGGAATGTATTTATTTTCTCTGAAACACAGTAAATTTCTATCAGTATTAAGACAGAACTGAAAGACAATGAAAAGTACCTGATCAAGTGCTCTGCTGATATCTTCTGCCTTTCTCTAATCAAGCTAAAGGAAAATTCTAAATACTATCAGATGTTGACCTAACATTCACCTCATGAATTGGCTTTTGGTACTGACCACACAGTCCACTTTCTACGAGCCCAAAGAGACTGAATGACTTAGTACTAATGCCTGAAATTCTCCAGGACATACCAAAACCATGGCCCTTTCCTGTAATTTGGTATGAATTCACCACAGTGACATATCAGAATGGGGAAGTCTGTTTCACTGCAGAGATAACACAGAGCCAGGCAGAGGTGTACAAGTTAGCATGAGTGCCAAAAACAGCACATGATTGTTTACAAGGTTCCTAACCTAATAAGCCCTACTGAAAAAGCAGTTTCAAGGAGTAAATTGCTACTGTACCAAAATAAAGACATTTAAATAAAAATACTATTTCATAGTGTATGCAAGTACCTAGTGTTCACACCATGTCCTTCTCGTTCATTAGCATTTCTCTGAACAGCAGTATATTTTTCTTCTTCTGTTCTTTCATCATTTTCCAAGGCAACCCGAGCTTTGTATTGGGCACTTGATTCAATTTCCTCTGCTAATTGAGTTGCTCTGGCTTCCCGTTTTAAAAACTCTTCTGAATTATCTCTTTCTAACGGCACCCTAAAAGACAATGGAAAGGAAAAGAATCTCTGAAATGCATTCAAAAGCACAAAGGAGCTACAGAAATGACATAGCGTTAATTCTAACCAAGTCACAGTAAAAAAAAAAACAAACTTGCTTTTAAGCCAGCAGACTTGCTGTCTTTTTTAGTAGAAGTTTGTCAATATTGTTGGACTGGTTTGATATTATGTGCAAATTCAGTGTCATTTACCTGCCTAGAGAGCTGAGGTCAGGGTGCAGAGCTTATTTCCATATGACTTGCAAAATCCCCAGTCCCTAAAGCTATGCAAAGGCTCCAACTTTTAACACGGTTGAGTACATTAGCAATAAAAAGCTTTAGTCTGTTGTTTAGATAGGAAGCTGTCGTAAGAGACCGAATTTGAATTTCTTTAGCTATTTACACATTCCCAACAGACACAAGAGTCCCCAGTCCTACTGAAATTAGAGTTACATGCTTAATCCTTTGATAATTCCAGCCATATAATTTCAGCTCTTCCTGTTATGAATAACTGCAGAAAAGATGAATGCAATACATTAGAGCACAGGACCAGAAACCCATGACTCATTTGCCATGTCCTAGGACCTCAAAACCATTCATGCCGTATATCAATATTAGGTAATAGCATATGGCAAAAACCATACGTAGCTCTCTTGAGGAAAGCCACCAAGTAAGAATTCAATACACGAGCCATGAAATACCAAAAGAGACAACTAGAGATGGACATCATAGCTGGCACTTCCTTCTGTCCACCCATGGTTTTGGTTTTTACCTGTTCTAATTTTTGTTAAAGTATCAGGTTTTATAAAACAACCTTGCGCTTTGTCCCTGATTCTAATTTTGAGTTCCAAAAGTTGTTTCATCTGACCTTACTTTAGAATAAACTACATAAAAAAACAGACCACAGTTGAGGCTTGAACGATGCTATGCTGGGCATTATATAATCACTACTCCACATATTTTGAATAATATAAAAAAGAAGAACAAAGAAAGTAGGTGGAGATACAAGCCAAGTATGAAATAATATATGCAAGATTACTCAAGTGTTGGTGGCAGAAGTAGGAAAACAAGTGGCTTTGCCAAATTCCAAGCCAGCAGTCAGCTACTGCATCACAGATTTCTCCACACACACACATTTTTGGCCAGTCAAGACATCTACTGCCCTTATCAATGGTAACTGCAAGAATATTAAAAAAACCCCTTACCCTTCAGCATAAAGCTTTGGCTCAAATAAGATATGCATGAACACAATGCATACAAACCTGAAGTCACAGGCCTCCCTTACCCTGTATTAAGTACACACACAAGAAAGGAGGACACCCAATACATCCTCATTTATTTAAAGTGACTGAAAAAAAATGAAGGGATGTATGCAGTACCACTGATGGCAACCTAAACAAGCAAAAGAATGATTTTACATTTTCTAACAGGGAAAAGGCCATTAAAGATGAAACAAAGGGGATGGGCAAGACGACATTGTTCAGAACCCTGGTGATGAGATAAGCGTATACAGCAGCTGATCAACGTGCTAAGGCAGTACACTTGCTAGAACACAAACTTGTACCTTTATGCAGTTTGACAAACTCTACCTGCTAATGCTTAGCTCTAGGAAGAGAAAATGATCAAACAATAAATCCGTTACAATCCTTCAGTTGCACATATAAGCATTTAGCTACACTGCTGCTCATCACATACTTGGAGAATCAGGAGAAGAGTTTCCCAGTTTAGCAGACTGATATGCAAAGCAAGCTGCTTGACTGGGAAACAGTGGAATTTGTCTCTGGCAATTCAGAGCCACCTTCATGTTTTTAATCTGTTTCCATTAATATCCATAAAGCAGAAAGACGGAAGACTAAAGTTCAAAAGTACAAAAAGCACTTAGAGCAGTGAAGTACACAAAAGAACAGCTTCCGCAGGCTTCAAATGTAAGCCGATTAATACACTTTGATTATCACCATGTTACAAGTCTATTTTAACAAAATAGTAAAAATAAAATTGTTGAACCAGAGACCTGTAGACACGTGCTCCAATTCTACATAAAAATCAAAACGTTCACTGCAATTCCTTGACATTCAAAAATAAGTTTACACTTTGGGGGTTAAAAGAGTGGGAAAACATTAAAGACATTTCACAATGGCTGCTGAACATCTGCAATTCATTTGTTTTGCAGTTGTAGTTAACATTATAGCTGCAGACTACTGGGAACAGGTCCACGCTGCCAAAGTAGCCCGAGCAGGCTTTATATGACTTCTATATTCAAGTTGTTATTATATTGTAACTAAAACTTCAGTTTAGATCTGGACAAGTCTGCTAAACAAGCCATCCAACGCACACAACCCCCCCTTAGTGATCAGCAACATTTCAACATTCCAGTATCTACCAGATCAATTGTCTCAATAAAATTAGGATTTCGTCAAAGTGCTCTGCCAGGTTACACACAAACTATAGGTATAGCAGTTACGTAAAGACAGTTTCACAATTTCGTATTTTCCACCCCATTCATAGAAGTTTTTGTAAGAGATAAGCATTATTGCAAGCCTAAATTCAGACAATGTTGCAATGGGAATGAACTGTGACCATTTAAGGGAATATATATGATTACTACATCTAACTATTCACAGAACGCTAGCAAGGTTTCTTAAGTACTATTCATTCATTGCTTTTTCAGTTATTCAATTCCACAACTTTAGAAAGTATGTAAAATTATCTTCAGAATAAAGTTTGTCAAACCAAGGAGAACATTAAATACAAATCTAATAACAAAATATTTTTGCACTTACGTATAAGAAGATAAACTGCTGTCATAAGTTGATATTACACCATAATTTTCTTCATTGTAACGAAACATGTCATTGGGATCCCATCCATTAGACTAGAAGAAAATGATGCTCGTTTTTCAAAATGACACTGGAAACACATTCCCTTAAAACGAAGGGCTGATGGCAGAAGTTAAACCTTTTGCCCTTTTTCCTGGGCCTACGAATTCACTGTCCAGATAACCAAGTTACTAAAGCCACAATTTATTTCAGGGAACTTTCTTCATCAGATGCACAGATCTTACTTTCAAAAGTCAGTTTTTTGTTTGTTGTGTGTATTTGTGTTGTTTTTATGAGGTGGGGTTTTTTTTAAGTACCATGCCCACTCTGTACTAGAAGATTACTGGCTAGCAAGAAATATATACATGAATGCCTTTTCCAAGAAGTGAAAAGTGACACTTCTGAACATTGCAAGTGTCCCTTGCTGTGGCAAGTGCTGAAACTTTTCAAATGCACTAGTAATGCAATGATCTGAGAGAGACACCCCACAGGCAGGATACCCCTGTTGATCTGCACAACTTCCCCACTTTCGTAAAATTGCTATGACAGCACTCAGGCACAACGATAAATGTTTTGAATGTTTTATAAAGGCACTGACAGTATTAAGTATTCTAATAAATCTCAGCTGTACAATATGTACACTAAAATTGACAGGATAACTGTTCTACCCAGACAAAGTTAATACGCTCCACAGTAACATGACTAGATTCTCCTCTAATTAGTAATATTATCTTCTTTCTTTAACATATTGCAGTCTGAATACCTTACTAAAAAGAATGCATGGTTGAGTAAAAGCTGACTGCTATGATATATAAAGAAACGTCATTTGAGACCATACTCTTCATCTAACGACTCATAATCTACTGAGATTGTATCTGTGCTTATTAAGTCATGGGTCAGACTTCCATCAATTTCCTTCATCTTAGCTCAGAGACAGTTAGCTAAGCACAATTGCGCCATAATTTCCAAATGCAATGATAGTCAGACAGGAATGCTCTGATTAAACATAAATCACTTCAGTGCATTGCTGAATTTGGAGTCTTTAATAAAAGCTCCTCTTTCAGCCAGTCCATGAGTCAAACACGTCCCTTACCACAGCAGCTGCCATTTGTCAATATTTGCCAAAAGTGGCATTTGAAATCCAGCTATTCTTATTCAAATTGTAAAAAAGCACTGTGGCAGCTGCTAGCAAAGACTGAACATACACCCATACAATGTAGGCCAGCAATTTTAGTCAGAAGTTCATTACTAGATTAAAATTAAGGAATTGTTGCAAGGCATGTCCAGAGAAATAGCTTATTTTCTACAGACTGTCATAGATGATAAAAAAGCATTACTTACAACATCTGTTTCTAATGCCTCAAGCTCCTCAGTAGCGGTGGTCTCTCCTCCATCCCATGGCTCAAGATCCTTTTCCTTGTGTTCACCATTTACTTTAGCACTGATGGCTGAATCAGTAAAAGCATCTACAACGAAGTGGGGAGGGATGGGGGTGAAATCAATTTGCTTAAGCAGAGGAAGATGCACACACAAGTTTATTTGAGGAACAACCAAATACAGCTGAATTGCAGGCACATTAAACATCATTCACCTTCTCCTGTAGTTGCTGTATTCAATAGGACTACATTAAAAAGGTGCCTACTTCACACTTAGAATAACTATGGAACTACAGACTAACTTCTAATGTATCTGTTTACAGGGGTTTTTTTGCAACTTAAAGTATGAGACAAGGCATCAAAGAGTAGCAGTGATTACTTTCAGTTATTTCAAAATATTTTACACAAACTACATATGTTCTTGCTAAAAAAAAAAAAAAAAAGAAAAAATAAAAGACTACCTGAGGATCCCCATTCCTCTAGAAAAGCCAAGACTTGTATAATATGCTTTTCCAAACAGCCCACACAACTGCACGCTAACATATTATGCAAGTATCAAAAAAGCATAAATGCAACCCAATCCCATTCCCCTAAATCAATGGGCAGAATACAAGTTTCCTTTCAAATATATGAGTTTCTCCTATTTTCACAACTCAACACGCCAGCAAGCACACACATACTTTTAATCCCTTTGCAGTGTAACTCAATTACCCATTAGCTTGGTGCACCCCGTTTACTGTGACACGAATGGAGATGTCCTCCTTCCCGTAAAAGCTTTTTCAAGAAGCAGCTTACCCAAATCACACAGCAAGATTCAGAAACTCTATACCTCTTGTTCTCAACAACGTATGAAAATAAATATACCATTAGGTGCACTAAGCAGTAAGGGTCTGCTATTGTTAATACAAATTATAAAAACATATATAAAAAAAAAAAAGATCATGAGCTTTTATTTTCACTTGTTCATGTTTCATTCAAACCAGACTTAAGAAGGAATAATACTAGAATATTAAAGTGCTGTAAAAAAAAAAAAAAATGTACAAAGCCATTCATCAAGGAAGCCAAGCTTTTATATTTGTAAGCAACTAAATCTCAGAGCTGCCTGCAAATTCTTAAATTACTTAAACAGAAGGAACTTTAAAAAAATAAAGTAAGCTTGTTAAAAGCTTATAAATGAATAAATACACCTAAAATAAATAAGCCTTCAATCTAGAATTTCCTATTATCATTCTACTGATAAAGTAAGGAGCAAACATTTCAGACCTTTAGAAAAGATGAGAACAAACCACCAGGCAATGCCAGATATGGAAGAACGTGGCTTAAATTGACTTTTGGCAAGATCTGAAATCTGGCTGAGAAAAATGAACGTTAAAGCCATCGTGAAAAGAATTCTCAGCATAGGAAGCTGGCCACTGATGTTACAGTGTTTAAACAATCACTGAAGATTTTTTAAAGAGAGACTGCAGCCATAGTTTATTATTCCTGTTTTACCCAATTTCACAGTCAAGTTCTGTACATATATTGGGATGATCTGTCATAAAAGTTAACTGTGCTTAGTCTGTCTAGTAACATCCCGCACTATCTCATGAAATGCTTGCTCGACTCATACACGAAGACCAAAGGAACTATGGATAAGCAATTAAGCATTGTTAATAAGCGTATATGAAACAAAATGTTATAGAAGATGTATGAAAAATAAGAGAAGTTTATTAGCTAAACATTCATTTCAAATACAAAAGAATCAGTAAAATAAGAGAAGAAAGCCAAATGAAAGGAAGACACCTAACCAGGCACACCACTGTTAGGGCTCATGTGAAATTGCAAAAACCTGCATCAATCACCTTGCGAGACGTCGCAGTCTGTCAACCAAAGTTGTGACAGTACCTACGCAGCTGGAGGTTAACACTTTCAAGTGAGATTATATTTTAGCTCGTCACTAAATGCGATGCCTTTAGCAGGCCCGTTCTGGGATTACTTGCAAACTGTTCTGAAACAGAGTCATTGTATCGTTGTACTACCTACGTGCTGATGCAAAATTTCAATTGTTGCATTTTCAACTTTTCAGAATAGGTAAAAATCAAGGGTGAGAATAGAAGTCATCAGCTAACTGCAAGATACTCTAAATGATTCTGTGAAGTTACGCATGCATGTTTCATAGTGCCATAAATGTGCGAGCAAAGATATTAAGTTTCCGTTATATATTATGGTAACAAAAGCATTATGACAGGCAAGATGCAGAGACATAGAGTGACTGCCAAAAAAGTTACCTGTTTCTGAAGGAACTACAACAGATATGGAGAGAGAAAAAATTGGAAGACATCAGATATAAATACAGGTGGATTTTTTCACATTATATGGCTGAATTCAGGCAAAGCTAAACTCTTTCAGTCCCTCTCACAGACATATTCAAACTGATTATACATCTCCCACCTTGCAAAGATCATTTCCATAGTAAAACCTCAGCAATGTTCCCACCTATTAACAGCCCCATATATTTCCCCATTTTGCTTCACAAAAAACCCCCCTCCAAATAGCCTACAGATTTCTAAGGTATACCAACTTGAAAGAAAACATCTCTCAGTTTCCCTTCACATAAACAGCTTTTAAAACATACTAGAACAGCAGATACGTTTAAATGTCATCTGAAACTACATAGTAACACAGCGCTACCTCAATCCACAGTTAAGTAGTAACTAAAGAGCACATTTAACAGGGAGGCGAAAGTAAGGCACTTGTATTTGCAAACTCCGCGTTTACCTTATCAATACCCGGTAGCTAACACTGCCATAACCCAGAAAGACCAGTGCTGCTTCTGTGCTGAACACCATTAATTCAATGTTTCATGTCTGATCCTCTCAGATTGGACATTTTATACCACATGTAGTTGGAGGCTGCTTATGTCACTTAGGAAACTGTGAAATTTGCTTCTACATTACTTCACTAGGAGTAGAGGGAACTCTTCTCCAGTGAGATCAGATAAATATGAGTTAGGAGGACTGATGACAGCACCTGACAGAGGTAATCTGCTGTATTTCAGAAGGGTGTTTCCTTAATTTCTATTAGATTACTTCAAACTCCATATACAACTGTGCCATTTTGGATACTGTGAATAAAATACTAGCTTAACAAGACTCATCTATTCAACCCACTAATTTTCTTATTTAAAAAGGCACATAAACATTCAGCAGAGTGCTGTTAAAAATTACAATGATACAGATGAACTGCGGGGGGACAGGACGGGACACAAGTCAAAACAAAAACTCCACTATCTAAGAAATGCTACAGATCTGAGTAAGATGTGTACAGTCAATGCTAAGTTTCCCAGTAGAATAATCCAGGATATCATGGGGCACAGGAAGCTTCACTGCTCTTCACTTCTCTCTGACTTTAGAATGAAAGGCACAAGTGAGACTGCAACATCAGTTTAACCTCTACAACTCAAAGAAAATCCAGAGTTAGAAGAAATTCAAGCTACAAAGGCAGACTTGTAGTCAGACAATACGGTCTCCTGAGCATCCAGGCAAAGTTTAAATGTAGCAGAACGGTACCTCAAGGCACAGACCACTATTTTCCTGGAACAAACAGCTAGGCAGGCACACAGGACACCAAGATTAAAAACGTGGCAAGTCAAACAAGACTTTACCAAAATTAATGAGCAACAAAATTGAGAACATATGTAAAAAATAAATTCTACAAATAATTGTTTCCACAAAAAAAAACCCCTGCTCTTAAGATGATTAGTAAAGTAGAAGTTAAAACATGAAGTGCTGTTACAAGTGCCGACTGGCAGAGTAATAACAGACAAGATAGTGACTGCACAGGCTCAGCCTCCCCCTTATCTCTGAGCTGTTGAATGAGCAATTCACATGGCACCTTGACATGGCCAAATTTTTAATCAATTCCTTTTCTACATGGTAAAACCCAAGTTAAAGATCAAATGAAAACTGGTCAGACAAAGAGCTTGAGCTGTAACACTCAATTAGCCTCCCCTGCCTCTGTACCTGCTTCATGTGACATCTCCTAAGCAAAGAAGTTTGGTATCAAAGACCTCGCTTCTTGTTTTAAAGCCTGCTAACCGGAAGAAAAAAAAATCCCAAGGACAATTCTACACAACAGAAATTCACATTAAGTAAAGGCAAATTAAATGTACACATTCTGAGAAAAACTCAGCTTGAGCAAATTCTTCCAGTATGTGCTATTAAATGAGTTAAAGAAAAAATTGCCAGAATAAAGCAATTAAGAGTCCAGGTTTAATTAATTTCAGTGTTTAACATGCTTGTTTTCACAAACATGTTGTGAGCTACTAATGGTGAAGAGCACAAATATGCAATTAAGTGCAACTCTGCAGTTCAAATGCTATTAAACCAATCGGCATTACGTGCCAAAGGTGTTCATGCTGCACGCTGCAAGCTTTGATCAAGTTTAGCATGGCCCAAAGTAAACTGAGGTTTCATCTTAAAGCTTTCAACAGTAAACTCTCATTTGTTTTGTAACTACTTACTACTGATTTGAAACATTAAAACCAGTTACCACCAGCTTTGCAGAGCCAACATTTCCTTCCTTTGTTCGTAATATGCCTACTGCTATTCCCCTTGCAACACATTCTCTGGAAGGATGCCACTTTCAGTGCTAATTCAAGGAAAACTTAAATAGCCAACTCTCTTCTGCCTTTTTTCATTGGATTTGTAATATTTTTCTGAGAGTGCAGTAACAGTGCCAAAAAACCAATACAAACATTGCAGAAGCCTTCCACTTTAACAGTAGTTATGATGTTGAATTGTCTTGTCTTTAAAGAGAAGCCAAGAAGGCATCTTACTTAAATTTGAATCATATGCAAACCAGCACTGTCGACTGATCAGTGTTTAGGACTATGGGAAACATTGCTAGGAACTTGTCCTGTAGACCACAGGAGCAATATACCCTCCTATTTCAATCATGCAGCCCAAGTAATCTAGCAACTACGAGATCTAGGCACTTCCCCTTCGCCTCAGAAGGTGAAGCAGAAAGACGTTACATGCTAACGTACAGCCAAGGATTTCAACTTGCACATTAGAGCGGATTCTTAGCAGTCGATTTGCACCGCCACATGCCGAAGACGGTGCCTGTCCCTCTTTAAATGCAGACAGAATAGTTTGAAAGGGGGATGATGGCTATAATACAATTTCACCTGAGTTTTCCAATGCATGTTTCATTCATCAGCCTGCCTGTACTGCAGAAAGCCCTAATTCCACAGTGAGAGACCCTCAGGTGACTCCTTTCCATCTGTTTTGAAGCCTAACAGGAATCTACAGGAGCACAAAGGTCTATGCAGACTGACAGAGTTGGAAATAAGGGCCCAGGAAGTAGGGACAGATTTATTTTTTAAACATAAACTGTTAGAATAATGTCCCTATCCACGCAGACCTATTACTTTTTCTCCCAGCCCTTCCAATTTCCACAATCTGGGCAGGCACCACACTTCCTCCACTGATGCGTCTAAAGGTGCCATGTCATGTTTGGCACAAGCAAATCTAAGACCGCTGCTTCCAAACGGGGTGGTTTCACCCACCCTAAGCCTATACGGTCGTTACCTCCCCTGCACTCGCACTACCGATGTAGCTGCAGGATGAATTATCAGCTCACTGCTCCAAAGCTGCACAAGTATGATAGCAATGAAAGGTGCCTGGCAGACCATTTCAGATGGTTCTTTCAGAGACAACTCTATTTTCCGCTCCTCTGAAAGGAGAATTCATTCCATTCCCTTTTTCCCCACCTGCTGCTCTTTTCCAGTACTCTTCCAGTCTCTTCTGTCTGACTTGGTCAGACAGGCAGACAATGCAGCTAACACCTCTGCTATTCCAGTCTGAGGGTAAGGCAGAAGATCAAGATCCACAGAGTCAGGAGCACCATTTGTCTGTCCGTATTCCTCCAGCTCAGCAGAGAAGCAAATGCCAGAATAAAAATCCATAGAACTCCAGATACTTATACTGAACCAGGAAACAAGAATGTGCTAAAATTTCCAAAACAGTATCTTTTGCAGAAATTAAGTTTACTTCAAGGCCTCCTCAAAAGTCTAGCAGTCTCCTATGGGGTAGGAGAAACGACATACACACGCCCCAACAAACCCTACTCTAGGTAAGCCTCTCCTGTGGCAACGGAGTGCTTGTGAAGTGCTCTTTTGTTTGACTACATTTTTAAAGAAGTGAGAGCAAGCTGCCTTTCCAACCAAATATGTCCAAATTGTCTATTAACTTGTCTGTGAAAGCCAAAATACACCAAGGGCTAGGCAGTTTTAAAATATTTGTTCCTGGATTAAGTGCAACATTGTCAAACTTCTCTGGGCACCAGGCAGTAACCATTCCCAATACAAATGCAGCAAGGAGCACCATTTCCTTGCCTAGGAGTTCAAACTCAGTTTTTACTGAGTCACATGGGCTTATCCGACTCGGTACCACGAAGATTTGTGTTTATTTATAGGAACAAAAGGCCAGCAGTTCCCGCACACGTGTTCATACACTTCCATTCTTTTGAATCCTTGCTTATTTAATTTCCCAAGAAGCAGAAAGCCCTTCATTGCTCTAATTTGCAGGTGTGATCAGAGACTGACTTACACTTTCAAGTGTCGTTTCAAGATAATACATTTTTGAGACAAAATGGAAAGCAGATTAATTTTCCCACTACGAGTTATCGAGTTCTGCAGCCTTCCAGTGTATCTTGCTCCAAGTCTCTACAGCTTTATTTCAGCTCTCCAGCTACTTAAGAGATTTAGATTCAAAGACATTCCACCTAATAAAGAGAACTGAGCAACTGTTCAACCTGACGCAGTAATTTTCTTCTAGAAAACTTCCATTGAGTAATTATTCCTACAAGTAGTAGTATATTCTTCATTCCGTCTGCTCAAAATCTATAAAGATTGGGTAATGGAGAGCCCAGTCTGCATTTACGTTAAAGTGATGTTCATAGCAGACCCCTTATAAAACAGCTCTCATGTAATTTAAATTCAAAGTCCTACCCAGAACCTGGAACTTATCTGCATTTCAATGCTACACTTGCTCTGACATTATGCACCTTCTTCTGGGAAAAGCAAATTCCTTGGAGCAACAAGCCTCTCATTCTTCAGCTTTAAATCAGGCAAGAACATGTACACGTACGAACACAAGGTGAAAGGAGAAGATCTCATTAAATGTCCACCAGTCCCTACGCATCTCTAAATCACTGCTCCATGGGAATAAAGCATGTGTGTTACAACAACCACTTAGCTCCCCGTGACAGTTGTTGATCAACCTGAAAATGCACACATACGCAATTTCACTCCATAGCATAGAAAGATATGTATTTGCTTTTATTCCTTAGCCCAGCAAGTCAGGAACATAAGCATAAAAACCCTTGAGATTTGCTGTCCTCCCCCCAAAAAAATATCTGCAAAGGAACTAGAGCTGTCTGACTTATGAGCCTCTTAGGTTCCAGAAAAATAATTAGGGTCTTGGAGGTCAGACATTAAAAGAAGTATGAAGACTGCCTATAAAATTGTTTCATTCTGACAGTTTCAAGCCATGTCTTGAGATTTCAAGACCACTTGCCTGCCACCTCACTGGGTTCTTCTGTATTTTGGAGAACCTTAACTACAAGTAGTAAAGCAGAAATTAAAACCACAAATAGTGGATTTTCCTAAAGAAGTTTTAGCTCCATTTGCAGCAGTATTTTTAGAGTATTTATATGAATGCATGTTTAGAGACAAAAGTTACTTAACTAAACATAGACTTTATATATACACCAACTCTGAACAATAATCTTTTTATAAAGAATTTATGTATTGGATTATTTATTATTAGTTATGTATATGGATTCTTATATAACATTTAACAGAGTAATTTAGAAAGATGTTTACCGAAAAAAAAAACCAAAACGCTTATGATCTTAAGATACACACAACTTTAAAAACAAGTATACCTCTTCTCGCATAATTGGTATCCATGTCCTTAAAATGCACCATAACAAAATCTGAAGACTTGAACAAGATACTCTCTAGTATGTCTTCACGTTTTGGCCCCAAACTGGATTCTGCAGTTTTCCGATGAGCAGCATCAAGCACTAAATCACACTATTAGAGACATAAAAAGAATACACTAACTTAACGCACAATAAGCTACTCGATACCGTCACATACTTACAAAACCCAGACATTTACAATAGTTTGCAAAAATTAATCTGCTTGTGTAAACCTAGACATAACAGTCAAAACAATTCATATAAATACTCAAATTTTAATCAAATATTTATTATTCAGTATTAGGATCTTTTAAAATAGGGAAGCGTCAAAACAAAAAACAATTACCTTAGGACTGTAGGTTTTAAAAACTCCTTCATATATACCACCATTTTTCACCTGTACTTCACATTTGGATCCCTAGAATGCAAGAAAAATGAATACACAGCTTTCTACCAGCCTGAAAAAAATTACATTTGAGTGATTTTCTCAAAGATGTATTTTTTACATAAGTACAATGTGTAAAAATACAGCTCAGTTTTTAGTCAAATCTGCTCATTCAACATTTGCCCATTTATAAATACGCCACTGTGTTCTGCAGATGCAAACAGCTGGGTGTGTACCAAAATTTGTTCTGAGGGGATTTAAAGATACTCACGGAAGCATATTTGGTACTCACAAGACTCTTGACCAGTTATGCACACAAACAAGTTTTTGTGCAAAACCAAAATCTGTGCATATGTGTGGATACAAATAAGGATGAAGGCTTATTCTGGACTCTAGCAGATGGGGGACAGTCTGCCTTACTTAATTTTGGCACGTCAGGACTTTCCTTAAAATCTGGGGAAAAAGGCTTCCATTCCCTGCACGCAGTTTCATTTTATTTATCCATAACCTCTCTAAAGATGGAAAATCAGAAATATGACCAATGCACCTAAGAAATTTGCTATACCTCTGCAAATTGTATTTGAACCTTTCCAAGCCAAAAATACAGAATAGCTATTACTGTGATTCTTTAAAGTCCAATCTTGGCAAAAGATGCCTACTGTTAAACTTTAATATTCGCTCTATTATATTAGAATTAGTGGACTGGTTAACAATTCTATGTCACCATAGAAACTGTTTACCCTCCTTCCAAATATGAAGACTTACAACAACTGATGTAAGTATGTGAACCATTCTCATGTTTGCATAGATGCCATCGAAAGAAATCTGAAAAATAAAAGATGTTGTCATGAATAGAGGAGAAATACTTGCAACAATTAAAAAAGCCAGTGCGCCAAAAATAACACAGGCTTTCATTAGTACATACTAGTTCCTAGAAACACTGGTTCAAAACCTTATTCAGTCAATATACATAGAACTTAGGTCACATGTGATTTCCAGAGGACCCTTACCTCTTCCTCTGATTAATTAAAGATCTGAACATCCTTCCAAACAAGATAAACATTACAGAGTGCCCTTAATGTCACTCAATAAGGAAATTCCTTTGCTGGTTGGATGAAGCTCATATGCACAGACTCCTAACTGAAAAAGCCCTGCTAACATCCCTCTCTGGTTTAACAGCCATCAACAGGATAAGGTACTTCAACTGCCACACAAATAAAAAGGTGCTTTCAGGGCCTGCTGAATTACATCTTTTTCATCTAACAGACTTGATTACATGCATTAACAGAAGCTAAAGTCATCAAATCATGGAGCGCCAAAGAGCTACAAAACCTATCGTAAAATTAGTCAAAAGTAATTCACTGCAGTATCAGAGTCTGCGATCCTGCACCAGGAGAGCTGACCAAGTATTGCCCAGGCTGCTAGATGACACGCTCACATAGGCATACGTGAAGTGGCGAGGAAGCCTGTGTTTTGTGCAACATCTCCTATCTCTCCCTGTCAACAAAGAGATGCTGAAACACGCAAGGACCTCACCGTATTTTGAGCTTTTTAACTGACAACATATCTTTTAAACTGTCAGCTCCTTAATCCACGTACTCCTGCATGTTAGCCACGCTTCCTGGTCTGGAAAGACACGTTTAAGGACACTCCTATGCTCAACACTCAGTACAGAGGACGTAAAGACTAACACTTTTATGATGTTCAGTGTTTGCATATGACCTTTTTCACCACTCTTCCTGAAAGCTTCTTTATTTTTACTGAAGGGTCTTGATATCTTCAGTAAACATTTATGTATGTAAACTGTAGTCCTTTTAAACCTTCCTACTTCTGCCTCATTCCCCCAAAATTAGTCATCCTTGAAAACCAGGCCAATAACAAATTATCAAACATTTGATTAGTGCAGTTCAAAGATCCACTCTTTAAATCGGGATCCACATCTTTAACTTTGATAAAATTACATTCTACAAGTCAAGCCACGCCTATACTTCAACACTATATAGCCTCGACAATAACTAAAGCTACACGTTCAGGTTACCGATAATGCTGGGTTATCTATTTTATAGCAAAGCTAAACAAAATTGTTATTTTTATTGAACTAAATGCTGTCTTACTGTCATCTGCTTAAGAAAGAAGCCAATGTTAGAGTCTTCAGAGAGGAACTAATTCAAAAGCATTGCCTTAAGTTAAATGTTATCTGTATCTACAACTATAATTGCAAGAAAACGCAGAAGATTTAAATTAGTGCAGTCAAGAGTTTAAGTGACCCTTCCCCCCTTCACCCTCCCAGGAGACTTAAATGAATGCAAGATGCTACATCTTTAGAAAAGCATATCTCAGTCTAAAATATTCACCAAGGTATCCAAAGGAAAAAATTGAGAGAATATTCCAGTATCTGCTATTCTTACATTGATACTTGGGTTTACTGTACGTGAGTTGTTGCCTCATATCTAGGAAGTGGTACAATGAGGAAAAAACATATACTTACTGTAGGCTGAGGCGGTCCTTTGCCACTGCTGCGACCTCTGAAATTAAATACATATATGGGATATGATTAAAAGAAGAACTGCTGAAATTAACCCATTTCTTAACAAGGAAGAATTCAAAAACCCATCTTAATTTAGTGTTGGGAATGGGATCAGAGAAAAACAGCACTCCCCTAGGGCAGAACTCAACAACTACAGGGCCCACAGCATTAGCCTCCAAACTACTGACCTACAAGCAAGTAACACTGGTTAGTAGGCAAGAGGGTTACCTGCAATAAATTGAAGGACAAAATGTAGAAAATACTAAGCCTATGTCATTATAAAAATCCAAAAATATTCTCTCTTAAGCAGAATCCTGTAACTAAAGCAAATTCCAAAACTTCCTGGCACACAAAACCAAAAACCACTTTCAGGCCCAATCCCTACTTAGCACAGAGTCGCCTCTCTAAGACTAGAGGCTCAGTACATCGTCACCGTCCCTCTGACGAAGGGCCACCCAAACAACCGACCCATGCTGCAAGCTACGGAGCCGCCTTGATTGTAAGGCCCTACCTACAGAGCTTGCTTATCACTCCTATCACAAGCCAGCAAGCAAAACTAATTAAGTCTCTCCATCCCCTCAAAAACACTACTTTTAACGCAAATCTGTCAATGTGTAGCACTCAGGACACTTCAAAAAGCTTTTAAATTAACATATATGCTCTTAATATCTTGCAAACTGAGATAACAGTCTGTGCCCTCCACCTCCTGCAGCTAGCAAGTCCACAGCACCAACAATTCTTCAACTTCACTGCTGTGCCTTATTTCAAAGTTACTTCCTTGTACCAAGAAGTCCTAGTTTCAAATATTTCTTATAGCGATTTAGATTTGTATTACAATGACTTCAGGAGTGCACACTGTAACGAGGCAAATGAAGTCTTCTGTTCTATAAAAAAAAAAAAAAAAATCAATTTTTTAAATAGACCCTCCTCACAGATGCACAACCACTTAATTAAAGAGACCCAAAGAATCATGTCTACGTTTCAAAATATCCGAACGACACTGAAATCTAAATTCAACTGAATGCCAACTGCATTCAATTGCTTTTGAAACCACTATGCTGTGGCTAAATACAACCTTGCTCTCGAAACAAGATGCCCTTATAAACAGGGCTCATGAGTTAGTTAAGAAATCAAAGGAACTTCTCCCAATCAACATAAATATCCCTCCAATAAATCCTGCAGAAATAAGCAAGTCCATCAGAGAACCATGGAAGGCCCCAATGAGGAAAAAATGAAAAACCACTAAATTATCACCTGACTCATTTAAGAAAACAAGCTTCCGAAACAGAAACGTAGTCTCATACAGCCTCACGCACACTGATGACATTTGCTGATTGGCAATAACTGCACATTTCAGATGTCTAGCTGGTATTTACAGAATACTTGCAGAGTACTTATCTCATGAAACAAACCTAACGCAAATAGCCTTTATTTAATTACCTATCAGTCTTAACTTTCCATAAGGCAGCGTCACAACTTCAGGCTTGCTCTGGAGACAAGCAAGTCTCACCATTTACTAAGTCTGCCATTTGCCAAATGGCTACCTATAGCACGGTGCTGAATTGAGCCCTCCGTGAACTGGAACATCATTTTTGCATAATATTCAGATGAACGATCCTCGTCTTTCTGAAAGTCATTTCACCAGATGTGAAACACCCAAATAAAAGAGAGGTACAGTCCAGTTCTGATTTTTCCTTTTATTCCAATCAAAAGCATCAACAACACGGTCTTTCAAAGAACGTGGCCTAAGTCAAACAATTTCACCAGTTCCCTCCGTTGGTCTCAAGGGTTTTAGAAGATACTCCTTCCTACATCACCTACAGAAATGGTCAAAAGTGAAGGAGTTTGGTGTCTTTGAAACAGAAATCACTCCCATTTTTAGTGACAAGTATTCTTAGAACTTAAATAACTGGGTTGCTAGACTGGTCAGAAAGTCTGGAGCATTCCCTTTAAGCATCCACCTAAGTGTTCCAGATTTTCCATCTCTTACCGCATTTCCAAAATGACTGTTCCTACCCACATTTCTTTAAGAAACAATCTGTATGCAGCCACAGTGGCAAGAGGTCCTAGCTTCTACATCAGACCAAGAGTTAAACTAATTGCAGAAATTCTATGTACTATTCTGACCTAACATCTCTTTACAGACCTGTCCTCTTTTTTTCCAGCTACAACTGTTAAACACAAACCCTTAGAAAAATGAAAGACATTCACCAATTCTGCCAATGCTACAGTTCCATCAGAACTGTATGTATCTTCTGCTAAAACCAAGGCCATCAACTTGAGGTTTATATTCCAATAGGTGAAGACTCAAGTTCAAATTACCCTTCGACACATCTTTGATGCATCACATGAAAAAAACTAGCACCTTTACAAAAGCAGAAAGTACATGGTCTTTGCCAGAAGTTTCCCACAGTTTAAAACAGGAGAGTAACACTAAGAAATGGAGGTGGGGGAAACTAGAAGGGTCAGCAGCAATTTGGCACTGCTACCTAAAACCGCATCTTGATTACGGTAAGTATGGCAAATAAAAAGAAAACATTGTGTATTGCAGAAATGTGGTTAAAGGTAAGCCTGGGAGAAGGCACAGCAGCTTGGCAAATCCAACTTGTAAACCCTTTCCTTTGGGGTAGCAAAGTCACAAATGCAGAAAAAATGCTGCACCAAACAAAGTAATGACCAAACAATTAAACTTAGTAGCCAACTCATTGCAGGCCAGCAGTTATACCTTAAGAGGGAAGATCTCCATAAGGGCTTAATCCCTAATGCCGAACAATAAACATTTTTCCCCAGCAGCAACTTGCAATTTTTTTTTTCTATTTTTATGTGCATTTACTATCCTATTCCTCAGCATCCCTCACCTCCCACCCTAATGTTTACATGCCAAGTAGAGCGTTTGTCTAAGCAACACAAGGTCACACATTTATATTTTTCCAGTTAAGTGAAAACTAATGCAAGGTACACAAGTCTTTCCAGGATGTGAAAGAAAGTCTCACGTTTTCTCTCCAGCGGCATCTTCACTTTGAGACTAAGAAACAAACGCAACCATACTGCAATTAATGCCTAGAGCAGAAGTGCAACTACAAAGACTGTTGAATTTAACAGAGTGAACAGATGTTTTTGGAGCACTGGCTGACATTACTACAGCTTTCAAAACATATTTGCAGGATACTCTAAAGAACTTTCATTACAAGGGCAGAGAGCTGGTAAAGCTTTCTTCTAAGGGAGAAATCAGAAGTACAAAGTTTTATTTAAGTGCAGTATTTGTCTATGTAAGTCAAATGAATCGAAGTTGTCAAATTAAGATTGTACAAGAAGTCCTGCAGCATTGTTTTCTGTAATTTCTCTCCAATACTGACATTAATAATGACAATTCCTGTCCTCTTACAAGATGCCGACTTCTGTAGCGTCTAAATACATAGGGAACCTGACTCAAGTCTGACCCAGTGCACATCTGTAACCTGTTGATGGACTTAAGTCGTTGAAGAAACTTCTTCATATACATTGCCATGAGTTAGTTGTTAAATTAGAACTTACTCAAAAGCAGGTATACAATATCGTACTAAAGTGCACTAACAGCGATAAGGAAAGAGACCTGTAGGTTATCCGTTCATTTTGCTCAGCAGTTTAGCACGGTTGCATTAAAACCAACACACACAAAGATGTTAGAACACACTAGAAAAACTCTGAATGGCACGTGTGATCGAGCCTCCAGAACAGTCACTTCCATCATATCAGAGCACCTCAGCACTCAATATTCCAAATTACTTCTGTCTGAACAGAATAGACACCTATCTTCTGCCTTTTACTTAAGCCTTTAATTAGGCTAATAAAAAAGGCTGTCAAGGAAAAAGGAAAATAAGAGTAGGCAAGAAGCATTAAGTCTCAAAAGCAAGCTACGCAGCATGGGATCATTTCAGTTTTAACTTTTTCATGGGCAAAGCCATTTATAACAAGACAGTAACTTACAGTATTCTTAAAGGACTCCCAAGTCCATTTAGGCAAGAAAGTTACCAAATAGAAAGGGAAAAGACCTTCTGCCACAATTGTAACTAGACACATAACCATCCAAAACCTCAGTCTGAGGTGTTTTCCCTTCAGACAAAATAACAATGGGGAAAAATTGATAACAAAAAAAGGACACAATGCTTGAAGGAATGCTGGGACAGATGCAACTTTCAATCACAGGACAGCTAACCCTCCTGTGCTTGTATAGCAGCAAAACTGAACTAAAACACAAAAAGTAAGTATTAGATAACGTTTTGACTAGCACAGCAGAGCAGGTTTGTGTACGAGGCCTATGTTTTTTCCAATTACAGTTCAGCCTACCATTGGCATCCACCCTACAGCCCGATTTCCCATCTGCCATATTGCACATGCAGTTGCTATTAAACAAACATAGCACTTCACTTAGTGCCTCTTTATAAAAAAAGGTATTAATCCTTTTTGTTTTTTTTCTTGAACACCTTTAAAGATACCTTCATTTGTGATTTTTTCCCTTATGTAAAAGAAATTAATAATATCATGAAAACAAATACTGGAACATCTTATTTGCTCACACAAGATTTAACCTTTTCTAATATGAAATACATATATCCATCATTGTGAAACCATAGAAATAATCGTAGTGAGCAAAGCTGACCCTCCACTCACTATCAGATGTAGAAGGACCAGGTGCTCAGCCCAATTAAGTCTTACAGTAATAAACACACAGCAGAAAATTAGGTCCAGGACAGTTAACTATCAATGAGCTTTCTACCCAGACGTAAGCCTTTAAGAGCAACTTAGCCATGAAAAGTAATTCTTTTGCGTCTCAAGAAGATAAGAAAGAGAATGCCAGTGCTGCAGGGAAACGAGCTGTTAGGAAGAAAGTTGGGCATAAACTGGAGATGTTTAAGTTTCTATTAAATAATATAATGCTTCGAATTGAAACCAAGATGCAGGCCAGCTAAAAAACAATTTGATTTTTTGAACAGAAAAGCCACTTAGCTTTCCATT